CTCACCGGAAGTTTTCAGATCCGTAGTACAGTGTATTGTGGGAATGATGTCACTTTACAAGTATTGTTACTGTTCGAACATGTATTTGGGGGCAAGTTTTGCATGATGATGAAAAAGTATTAAGTCCTATTGCTGTATTATCATTGATTATTTTTAAAGAAAAGGTAAGTTAGTGATTGCTTTGGGGGGTAGGGGGGACCTAAATTTTCACCGTAAATTTAAGTTGAAATTCACGTGCAAGTGTTTTTAGTGCCCTAAATCAAACTATAAGTATGTGGGGTGAAAGGACTTCATCAGGTCGTTGCGTATTTACTGTAAAACAATTTTGCCAGTATGTGTGCGGCATGAGGAAACGTGTTAGTGCTATTCAGTGTCCTGAATGTACCTTCTATTTCTACACCAGGTAGTCACATACTAGCTAGTTTCCTTTTATATTTTATATAGTTCCATGACTTTTGAAACATCAAGGAGGTAAATAATCTTAGTATTTCATGATAAAATACTAGTGGCCTGTGAAATATTAGCATTTTTCCCATTATGAACTATTCTTTCTAAAACAAGGACAAGTACCATTTCCAGACATTTTTCTAAGTTCTTTGGGTCAAAAGCTTATTTTGGGCCTGCCGGGGATGATGTTTTGAGGGAATTGTCTAGTAACGTAACACTTTGTGAATTGCCATTTTAATTTATTCTTCTACTGAAGCAAAGCTTAGTGTTTTAAATGTGTGTGCATGCTTTTGTTAAATGGCCCAGTTAACAGTGTTGAGGTATACCTGAAAAGTTTTATTTCTTAGGCATTTTTTCCAACCCTGACATTGTTTTCCCAAAAAACACTAAACTGTCTTGGACACTTTGTAATTAGATTGCTTAAAAGATCAGTCTGGACTTTATTTTTGGTCTTTAATAGCAAATGCAAGACATGTCTATTATCACTATCAGTTTGTAAAGTGGGTTTTTCTTTGACTTTAAAACTGAAAATATTCACATTTGATGGCCATAGAAACCTTAACAGTGTCCTTATTAATGCCTCTTTATTGTAAAATTTCATAAGCCATGTTTTTCAAAATAATTTTATATTAAATCCAACATCACTGAAAGCCTATTCAGTGTGTCAAAGTACTCAACAGATCATTTACTTGTAGCCCCTGGGAAGATATTTGAAGTGTTATGGCCCTTCACAGTAGACAGACACATTAGGAAATGTTACATAAACTTACCACTTAGTAGTGTATACATTAGCATTAGTGGATACACTCTTTTTGCCACTGATGGGGAATTCAAGTTGAAGTGTCCATCAGCCATGTAGCCCTGGAATAGATCTTTAATGTAGAATTTCCTCTCAGATAATTGGAAGGTTTACCATCTAGGCTACTGTTATTTATATAGCCAAACAAAAGCAAATAAGTAGCCCAGTTTAATTTCTTAGAATATTGCACATTTGCTCTAGGAGTTACTCAGAATCCCATCTGTATGTAGGTTCATTTAGAGTCCTCTAAGGATCCAAGTTATACAGCCCTATAAAATGTAAGTATTATTACTACTTTGCCTTTACAACAAAATGCAAGTGTATTTGTATTTTGAATTCGGCACTTAGGAAAAGAGAGTTTGATTTCCAAATCTTTGGGGGGAAAATGACAAAACAATGGGGAAGAAGGGAGAGTCACTTGTTTTCTCTTAGGGTTGTGAGGGGTGGAGCCTCCGTCTTTTCAAAAACACTTTTCTATTTAGTATATTTCATTTATAGAAATGCTGATTTTCTGTGTCAAAGTATAGTTCCCATGCTGAAGCGCTAGCCTAAAAAGGCAAAAAGAAAGTTGTTTTCATAGTACTACAAACATTATTCATCACTTTTACAAGATAAGTAACAAGGGAACAAAAATTAGAAGTCAAGCCAAGTAAGAACACTGTTGCAGTGAATGGGCCCTAAATAAAACCACAGAACAGGCAGTTAGCGTGGGCATCTAGAAAACCTCGGTCCCCAGGACTACAGGCGGCCGGCTCGAGCGGCGGGTGCACCTTGAGAGAAGTCTGACGCGCTAATGTCCAGGCCGGGCTTAGGGAAGTAAACGGGAGGATGGCAGGCCTTGATTTTTAGACTAAGCTGTGACTATAAAAATAAAGCCAGCACTTTTTGGGATAGCAACCCTTTAAAGTATCGCCCAGCTGCTGCTTGTGTCGCCCTGGTTCAGAAGTCATTTCTTTCCACCTAAACATTTACCTTCCAGTTTTACCCAGAGATTTAGGATTAGAAAAAAAAAAAATACATTATACTTGAGGGCCCCTTTATCTAAATTGTAACACTGAGTCTTCAGTGTTTATTGCTTCAGATGACAAGTTGTTTTAACTCTGCTTTAAAAGGACTTGTTCCCTTAAGTGACTTGTGTGGGTGTCTTACTTACGCATCAGTATTTCCGGCAAAATGAAAGGAGAAAGGAGTTGAAACTACTTGCTACTTGGGAGTGGTGGGCTTTTTGGGGGGGGGGGGGTATTAAATGTTTTCATTCCACACTTAGCCCTATTAAAACAGGCCATTGTTTCCTTTTGAAGAATAGGCCCAAATAACAGCAGTCCGTATTCCTGAAATCTGACAAGTACTTGCCATTCCCCATCCCCTATACCAAAGGCCACCATCTTTCCAGTATGTGCTTGTCTGGGTGAAGTTCCTCATTCCAAACTATGTATGTATATATCCTCGCAGTTCATTATAGTAGGGCTTGACCCACAAACAGTATCTGATGGCCTGCCTATAAATAAAATTCAGCATTCTATTTTTAATAATTTGTATGCCAGTTTGTATTCTTTGTCTCAATAAATACTTGATCACCAATGCTTTTGTTTTTTGACTGTTAATTTGAAATCTGCTCTACAGTCTTCTGCTTAAGGGAACCCTTGCTTCCAAATACAATTTTCTAACGTTCCCCGCCTTTAGGAGAATGGCAGTCAACTAGAGTGCTTTCAGAAATAGAGGTCTAACCCTCCCCCAAAAAAGCCTACCTTTTGGGGTATATTCTTTAAGCACGTCACTCAGAAGTTACCCATAGGTGACTTTGCTTAATGTTAAACTAATCCTGTCCTTAAAGTGGTTAACCATCCTAACTATTATGCAAGATACTAAGGACCCAAGTTACACATGGGAAACCAGAAGTTCAAAGTCTCCTAGCTGGTAAATGACTGAGCTGGGCAATTTAAATCTAGTTCTGATCTTACAAGCATTTCCTGTTCTAGAGAAGGAAAACAGGAAATAAAACAGGTTCCTCAAGAAGAACACAGATAATAAACTAAATGTAGCTAAACAATGGCCTGGTCTGAGTTCTACAATGTGCTGTTCTGAGCACAGGCACCAATTACACGTTTCTGGAACTACGCACTACAGTGGACTGAGGGGTGCCCCATAGTACTAGTAAATTCAATTGGCCTGTGTTGGCTGGACCCAATACGCTCGTTTTCTCAATTTTACTGTACCAAATGTCGGTTTCCATTAAACACACAGGCTAACCTTTGTAAACTTCCCATTGAGTTTCAAACTTTAAATAGGCCCAGGAGACAAATGAGGTCATGGGGATGAGAAGGGACAGCTCGGTAAGTAGTCACTAGTTCTACAATCCCGTACGGTGACCACACTTAACGGTGGTGAGCACTGAGTGACGTACGGAATTGCGGAATCACGCTGTATGCCTGTAACCATTACAACATGGTAGGTCGTCAATACTTGAAAAATAAAAATTTTTAAATTAGCATTATTTGAAACTAAAGTGTTGGACTAATTTACAGCCTGGTTACAAACGGTTAAAATTAGGCCAGCACTTTAATTTCAAATAATAAAATCCTAAGTACATGAACAATTTCAGGAGAAAATTTGTAACAAGTATTAATAAGCAGCTAGCTTGAAGACATTTTTCAGTGGCCTAAAGTACACTTTTTCTTAATGCCCCAAATCCTAAATTACCAAAACAGCCTGGCACCTGAGGTGGCATCCTCATGCCTGGAGCTCAGGCATTCGAAGTCCTCCAGCGTGAGAAGCGGGCTCGCTTCCTTGCCGTGCTACCTCCCCTCCTTGCACCAACTGCCTTCAGGTTTCACTTGTGGAGGGAACGTGGAACCGAGGCCTGCCCGAGACCGCGGTTACAGCCACAGAGAGTGGCTGAGAAGTGTGTCTGCGGCCGGAGCCGGCCCACGGGGGAGATCCCTCTGCCGGGCCCCGAGGGGGGGGCGGGGCGGGGGCGGGGTGCAGGGTGGCGGATGGGGCCGCACTCATGACTGTCTTCTGCAGACACGGCGCGCAGCGTACGAACGAAGGCAGTGGGACGTGGAAAATCCAAGTCCCAAGTCCGAGTACAGCTCTGCCGACTACAGCTTTGGTGCCAGAAGATTTCATTTTTAAGCCACCTTAAGTATGATTTTCAGTCACTTGTTTTGAAGAATACTAAGTAAATATTTCTAGCACATTTCTTATGAAAATCTTCCCCAGAGTAGAAAGCCTAATATTCCCGTTCATACGGGCCCAGAGAATGACTGATAATGAACGAACCTGCCCTTTATTTAGGCGTGAACCAGATTTCCAGTATTCATCATCATTTGCCCCCAAACAGGCCTGTGTCAAATGTGTATTATTAATAAAGTGAGAATTATAAAATGTTTACCCCCACAAACGAGCATCTGATAATGGCCTAAGATGTTTTCAATATGCAAAATATCTTTTCAAAATTGGAAACACGTACAAAAAAAGCTCGTAAACATTTTGAAGTTCTGAATTTGGACTTCAACCAGTTCTGAATCTGGACTTCAACCAGAAGTTCGGCAAAATAAAAGTCCGCGCAAAATAATTCTGTGCTCAAATTAAGTGTAAAAATCAGCAAATGCTGTCCCAACAGGTCTTTTATGGACCACAGATCTAGTTAGAAAAAAAAAAATCGGTAAAAGAATTCCATGCATGGGTCTCTAAGACTCGATCAATAAACACTGTCTAGTCGCCTCTCAAGGAAGATACAGATACAAACAGAAATGGTTACGTGTGTTTATTTTCAACTTTTAAAAAGGTATGTCAATTTATATGCAAAGTAGGCGTGATTCCTAGCACCAGACAAAAAGCAGGGTACCTTCTCTCTGTTTTACGTTCAGACACTTCCCCCTTCACTTAGGAGTTGTCCAAATCACTTAAATGTATTCTTTGGAATTTCTCTGACCATGGCGAACCTTTACAAAAAAAGGTTCCCTTCCATTAACACGGGTACCTTCATTTTAAGTTAACACTAGAACAAAAAATATTTCATAATTTTTTATTGATGGCATTTATCCCATGGTTTAACATGTTAATTATACTGTAATAAACATGGCTTTAATATTAAACTTTTCCTTATTATCCAAAGTCACCACAGTCCATTTCAGTAAATATAAAAATATATGCTTAATACTTTGTACAATACTGGTTTTTGGTCCAAACAAAACTGGATCAGAAAAGCCAATAAATTCACTTTAAGAATCCCCAATTTTTTTTTAAAGATTTCCAAATGGATTTAGGCAACTTTGAATAATGGGATTTACATAATAAAATCTGAGACAAGACTAAACAAAGAACAAACAAATTTTCTAACACAAAATTAAAATTTCAAGTTCACAGATTTATGTTATGCCAAAAAAGTACAGAAACAAAATTGTATTTACACAAGTTTCATAATAAAATAATGAAAAAGGCAAGACAGGTGGTAGGAGAATGAAAATATAGAAAGAGCATGTAATTATTAAATGGAGAACGCACTAGATCTAGTAAGTCCTTAGCATGGACCATTCTTTAATCAGGCTTCCTCTATCAGAAAATTTTAGTGCACAATACACCCAACTCACTCACTTCACACATACACCAGCACAAACTCAGCATAGAAATCATTCACTTCCACAGTCTCTAATCTATACAGAATTCCTCCGGGATAATTACAATTCCAGCGCGTTCCGAAAGCGCGCGCGGGCGCACCGAGCGCTGCGGCCGCAGGCGGCCCGAGGCCACGCCGGCCGGGAGCGGGCTCTGTCCCCGGGCGCCGCCCGCCGGCGCCGCCTCAGCGGATGATGTGCGGGACCCCCCTTCCGCTGAAGAATCAGTCACCAATCTAGCTTTTGTCTTTTTTTTTCTTTTTTTTAAGGGAGGGGGGGGAGGGCAGGGCTTCTGTAAAGAACAGGGAGGGAGTCCCAGACGCGGACAAGGCCTCGGGCGGCCCGGCTTGAGGCGGCCCCTCGCCCGTCCGCGCCGGAAGCCGAGCGGCAGGGGCCCGGCCGCCGCCAAGCGTGCTGTGCGACGCGCCGCCCCTTCACTTCCGGCGCCTGACGGCAGTCTTTATCTTGCGGCCAGACACGGACGTTCCAGAAGAAGAGAACACGTTTTTGCCGTTGGACCTGTGGGAAATAAAGACTGCATTCGGTGACCAGGTGCCCGGGAGATTTCGGAATCACCACAATCCTACCTGCGACCGGCGTCGGGGGGGGGGGGGGAGGGGGAGGCGCGTCGGGACGGGGGGGGCGCCGTGGACGTAAACTCGGGCCGTCAGCGCGCATGCGCGCCCCGGCGGCGCGGCCGAGGCCCGGCTCCTGCGCACCTGCGCTGCGGGCGGGCGAGCGACGCGGGGGCACATACGGGCCTCGGCCCAGCCACACCGCGCCCCTCGGGGACGCGAGCAGAACGCGGTCGCAGTGCGGCGCGCGCGCAGCCCCACCGTGCCGGAGCCCCGTCTCACCCCACTGTAAATGCCGCCGCAGGCTGCGAAAACGGGAAGCCCCCGGAGCCCGAAGGCTGCGCCGAGGCCGCAGCGGGGCTCGCATTCGCCGCGAACGTGAACACTCCCGACGGGCTGGTGCTCGTGAAGTTGAAATTGGTGGTGCTGCCGCTGCCGAAATGGAAAACCGAACCTGTGGTAGTTAAAGCAGAAAAACTTCACGACGGGCAGGAGGGCAGTGTTTCCAGTAAGGACTCTGACCTTTACGTACAAAAACGGGGGAAGGATTAAGCTCTCTTATAATCACTTAATATAAAGAAAGTTACAACGAAGAATTTTCTCCACCGACCCACACAACATACTTAAAAAAACGCCCTTGGACAAGTGACCCAACTTACCCACGACCAAGGAGGAAAGGGCAGAAGAGACTTCCGGTTCAAGATAGTGGAATCAACACACATTTAGCGCTAACTTCAAAAATTATGTTAAAATAATAGTAAAGGGATTTTTACAAAGCTGGGGGAAAGAGGAGACAACAACAACAACAAAATGGAGATGCTGGGAAGCTGACTGGAACCAAGTACTAAGCTAGCAGCAGGGAAAGCATAGACGCAGTTCCATTTACACTCAACATACCCAAAGGCTTGGGTGCCAGGGCCCTCTGGAAGGGAGAATGAAGGTGTGACTATAAAAAAAAAAAAAGAGGAGAAGGAGGAGGATGGGAGAGTATCTGTGTAAGAAGCAGGCACCCAGATCACTCCCTTCCCAGTACCAAGCAAGATGATAATTCTCTACCCCAACAGAACAGAACGTCAGTCTCTGGAGGGGTCTCTGAACTAGGGGCTCACACACAAAGGCAAGGGCATCCTATCAAAACTAGAAGGATTAAAAGTAAGTTGATGTAATGAGCACGGACAGCTGCAGCCTTCCTCCCAGAGCATGGGCAATCAGACGTGGGAGTACCCTCCAGGCACGACGGGAATGGGAATAACCTCTGGGGAACCTGACCTTCTAGAAGGAAACACCTACTGATACTAACATCCATGTCCTCCCAAGTAAGCAGGCCCGTCAGACAAACCTACAGTGAGATTCATGATCTACGAGCCTATCCATGCACAAAGAATTATCAAGTGGTACTTAGGTGTCCCATGCTCATAAAATTTAAGTTGAATAGGAAAAAATATTTGCAAACCATGTATCTGATAAAGAGCTGATATCCAAAATATATTAAATTACCTTCTACAACTTGATAGTCAAAAAAACCAAATAACCTGATTTAAAAATGGACAAAGGACTTGACCAGACATTTCTCCAAAGATGAACAAACAGCCAACAGACACATGAAAGGATGCTCAACATCACTCATCGGGCACATGCAAATCAGAACCACAATGAGGTGCCACCTCACACCTGTTAGAAGGGCTAAAAATCAGACAAGAGATAACAGGTCGGCGAGCACGTGAAGAAAAGGAACCCTGCACTCTGTTGGTGGGAATGCAAACTGGTACAACTGGAAAACAGTATGGAGGCGCCTCAAAAAAATTAAAAATAGAAATACTCTATGATCCAGCAATCCCATTCTAGGTATTTCTCCAAAAGATTTGAAATCAGGATCTCGAAGAGATATCTGGACTCTCGAGTTCACTGCAGCATTATTTATAACAGCCAAGATGTGGACACAACCTAAATGTCCACTGACAGATGAAGAGATGAAAACAACGTATATCACACACAATGGAATACTATTCAGCCTTTAAAAAAAATATGCAAAAACATGAATGAATCTGAAGGACATCATGCTAAGTGAAATAAGCCAGTCACAGGACAAATACTGCAGGATTTCTCTTATATGGGAAACCTAAAATAGCCAAACCACAGAAGCGGAGAGAAGAAGGGCGACTGCTGGGGGGCGGGGTGTGTGTGTGTGTGTGTGTGAGAGAGAGAGAGAGAGAGAGAGAAATGAAAGGAATGGAGAGGTGCTCTTTAACGGGTGTGAAGTGTAGTTACACAAGATGAGGGAGTGCTAGCAATCAGCAGTACAAGAGGGCGCCTGTAGTTAACAACACTGTATTAATACACTTAATTTGCTGAAAGGATGGATCTCATGTTAATTCTTACAATTAAAAAAAAACAAAACAACTGTGAGTAGATAGCCAAGAAGCACCAAACATTTGAGAAAAGTATTTCGTAAGAAACACCAAGACCCAAACAATAATAGAGAAAAGCAATTTGTAGAGAATGGACTAGAACAATAGCTTAAAGGGGAAAAAACGAAAACCCACACCTCATCATTAAGATCCTCAAGAGATCAACAGGTAACAATTCTGAAACAAGAAGAGAAGAATATAAAAAGGATACATCCGCAGAAAAAAGAACATTTAAAATTAGCAAAAGTAAAATCTTGACCAAGGGGAAGTAAAAGATAAATGTAAGAAATCTTCCCAGAAAGGACAAAAAGGAAAAGAGAACAGAAGTTAAAGAGTGAGGCACAAAAATCGTCAAAGAAGTAATTCCAGAAAGTTCCCAAGAATGGACGTTCACAAAAGGACAGACTAAATTCCTCACTGTCAGTGGGTAAAAATGGATCCAGATCAACGACCATCCTCCTGGTAAGTCAGAACACTGGAGGCAAAAGAAAAGATCCAGTGAGATTCCAGAAAGAAGAAATGGGTCCAAAAGCAAAGTTCAAGAAAGACTTCCAGAGCAACTAGGAGGGAGCCAAAAGTCCAGCATGGAGAAATGCTTTCAAAACTATGAAAATTATTTCCAATCTAAATCTGTATTCAACCGAAATCTTACCAAACACAGGCACAGAATAAAGATACTTCCAGAAATGTAAGGTTTCAAAATTTTCTTCCCTGAGGACTTAAGAAACCACTAGAAGATCTGCTCTATCAAAACAAAAGAATAAGAAAGAACAAGACACTGACATCATCCAGGAAAGAGAGGAAGCTAAGGGCAATCCCAAGAGAATGGTAAAAAGTGGTACCAAGACCACAGTTAAATAGCAGGCCTAGAAAGCCCGGTAGAAGGAACAGGTCAGATGATTCTGTGAAAAATTTCCTTCAAGATACTAAATAACAAGCAGCCAATGTATTTGAAAATACTGAGAAGTGATCTCTAAGAAAGGGAGAAGAGCAAAAGTTATGACTAATGATAGGTACAAAGAAATTATTAACAGAGAGGGATCACTGGTGCTGGAGAAAACAGAATTCTGTATAGAAAAGAAAAGCACGCTGTATCACACAGCATCTGCATCCTGGAAACACTCATCTGAGCACACAACGGCCACTCGAGGAGGAGGAGAGAGAGGAGGAGGGAAATGGCACTTGTGTGAAAAGCTACACTCTGCAATTCACGTGCTGAGAAGAATCAATCCTGATTAAAATGGTTAACATACGTCCCAGCAGAAATTCTGCTCCCTGTACTGACAAAATACTAATATCCAGAATACATAAAAATATTCCTGCACATCAGTAAGCAAAAGTGAAACCACCAAACAAAAAAACGGCCAAAAAAAAATCCTTATAGAAACAATTCACAGAAAATGAAATCCAGCAGAATCCAAATATGAGAATCCTCGTACAACGTAGTAAGATGTGAATGGGCGCAATCCATCAGGACAAGCTTGCGTTATTTTCCGAAGTATAAGATATGCATGCACACCTTTTAATTTGGCAAGCCTTCTCCTGGGTGTATACCCTAGAAAAATATGCATGTGTGCCCCAAGGCACATACACAAGAATGAGCAGAGGTGCGTTTCCTTTTTTTTTTTTTATTTTATTTATTTGACAGAGAGAGACACAGCGAGAGAGGGAACACAAGCAGGGGAAGTGGAAGAGGGAGAAGCAGGCTTCCCGCGGAGCAGGAAGCTCGATGCGGGGCTCGATCCCAGGACCCTGGGATCATGACCTGAGCCAAAGGCAGACAGCTCAACAACTGAGCCACCCAGGCGCCCCGCAGAGGTGCATTTCCTAATTGCTAAAAACAACTCCAACACGTTCATCAACAGTATATGGATAAATTGTGCTATGTTCATAAACTGATTTACTCTACAGCAGTGAAAATGAACAAACAGTATGTAATAACATGGAGGAACTTTACAAATAAGAGTGAAAGATGCAAGAATCAAGAGACTGAATACAGTGAGATTTCCATTTATGTAGAGTTAAAAATAAGGCAAAATGATATTTTGTAGAGCTTCACATATCAGCAGTTAACTTTAAATAAAACCCCAGGAAAGGGATCACCATAAAAGCCAGGACACATCAGAGCAAGGAAAGAGAGGCACATGAGCAAACAGGGAGCAGGAGGGGCTACTGGTGGTGGGCTAGCCACACGTCTGCTCCACCACCACACTGCTCATATCTGTCCCATGCTTTTCTATAGGAAGTCTTATTTTACAGTTAGAAAAGTATACATCCTACAGTTTTGAGGAAATAAATCCTCTTAGTACAATGTGATTAGCCATATTTAAACACACACACACACACACACACACACACACACGAATGTTCATTTAAATACGCAAGTCAAGCATCATCAAACAAAGTGTCCTGGGCGCCTGGGCAGTTTTGGCCCAGGAGAGAACTGGAGTGGGGGCATAACCTCCTGAAGTAAATCCAGTCACAACGAAGATTAGAAAATGCGGCTGAAATCTAGGCTGGAGTACTCCAAAACTCAAATGGGGAGAAACGGGACTGAATCGATGCTGCACCTCAAAGAGTAAGAAATACCTACATGTCAGTCTCATGCTTTAATGCCTTAATGTGCTTCACTGTATGAAAATTGGGAATGTTGTTTCTAGGGAAGTCCAAGCATGTACTTTTCTATTCCAAGTACAAGAGACATTTAAAGAAGTAAGACAGGGGGCACCTGGGTGGCTCAGTCAGTTAAGCCTCTGCCCTGGGCTCAGGGATGGAGCCCCAGGTCAGACTCCCTGCTCAGCGGGGAGTCTGCTTCTCCCTCTCCCTCTGCCGCTCCCCCTGCTTGTGTGCGCTCTCTCTCTCTCAAATATACAAATCTTAAAAAAATAATAAAAAATAAAGAAATAAGACATAGGCATGGTTTTAAAATTCAGAAACATGCTATCTGCATTCAAGCAGACGCTAGGGACAGACACCAGGCTACTTGCAGACAAGCAGGCCCTGGGTACAGAGCAGGGCACACTCACCGGAACTCGGAGCTGCCGCGGAGCCAAACGCAGACTGCCTGGGCTGCGGTCCGAACGCAGGAGGCTGGCTACTGCTTGACACAGTCCCAAAGGTAGGCGGTGCAGGCTGAGAAGCCGCAGAAAACAGCGCTGCTGCCGAGGACAGAGCTCCAAAGCCTGGGGGATTAGGCTGGCTGGCACCTTGACTCTGTCCAAATGTCGGAGTTTGGTTAACCCCAAATGCTGGACTGGCAGATGGTGCTGAAGGCCCAGTGCCAAATACAAAGGAGGATCCTAGAGGCCCAGAGAAACACGGATATCACTTAATAGCTACCATGAGATAATCCTCAAGAAACATCTATAAACTCGGCAGCAAACTTCAAGCTTCTTTTCGGACACTTACCTTGCTGAACAGATCCCATCAAGGCAAGGTTTGAATATTAAGAATATAATTCTCTCCATTATTTAGTGAAACCATATAGAATTCACATCAACAGAATGGTCTATTAGCAAAAATCCCCACCTTCGCAGCGAGATTTTTTCAGGTAGAGGGACTGATCTAAGAAGACACGCGATCTCTCATCAGATGATCTACCACACAGCAGAGACCAGCTAGTGTTGTCCTCATGTACATGCTACATACTGGGGACGCGTGTCGAATGAAACACTCCCCAGTTTCTGGTTAACAACCTAACATCTCAAAAAGAACACTTGGAAAAACTAAAGATGACACTGAGACTAGAGAAATTCCTCCCAAGAGTTAATTATGTTAAACCGAACCCAATATACACGATTCCACGCAGTGAACGGTTACAACATCCCGGGTAAAGCCGGCCTAGTGGCGCCGGGCCGTTCTCTGGTCACCTGCTACGTCACCTGCAGAGAGGCCAGAATTCCAGCCCGTCCAGCTAGCACACGCACGTTCTTCCTTTGTCACCGTACCTGCAGAGCTGGATGTGGTCGTAGCTCCGAAGCTGAAGCCGGAGGCCGCGGTGCTGTTGCTGCCGGCTCCCGGCCCAAAGACGAACGGGGTGACGGCCGCGCTCGACGTGGTCGCTGGTTTGCTCTCTGGAGAAAACAGCAAAGACTGAGGCGCGCCCGATTCGGCCGAGGTCCCGAAGGCAGAGCTGGCCCCGGGGTTGCTGGCCTGTCCGAACACAAAGGTGGGCCCGGGTGCGCTGGAGGCGGCGGGGCTTCGGAACACGGCCCCCGCGGCGGCCGGCACGCTGCCCGTGGGAGCGCCGCTGCTCAGGAAGGCGAACGCCGGCTTCGCTGCCCCTGGATCTGCAGACACGAACGACGGGACACACAAGACCTCTGAGCGCAGGCAACCACACAGCACTCTCTGCTACGCTGCAGTCTAGTCATTCGTGAGAACACAGAATCCTCACGTCTTGTTAAATACATTCATTCAGCACACGGACGTGTTCTATCACATTTTGATGTGAGCCAATATATCCGTCTTTTCTTTTATGGCATCTTAGATCAGGCAACTTTCAGCATTCAGATTAATAAGGATAAAAAGCATCCCTCAATCCCACACATCAAACTGGAGCTACGTCTGGGTAACTGTTCAGATAGCGGGAGACCGCGTGCCTCTCGAGTTTGCGACCGACGTTAGCAGGGTCCTAGTCCCCCCGACTGCTTCACTGGCTGCCCAGTGCAGCCTCCACGCACTCATGTGCAACTCCACGCTTAGGACATGGTAAATTTCCACATCCATGTGCATCTGTTCCCTCTACAGTTACTGTTCCTAGACTGTTGAATTACCGTGGCTTCGCAGTTCAGTCTGCCGTTAGCGGACTGAACCTGTTTGTGTGCCTGCCCCTCCCTGCAAAACTGCTGGGGCATTTGCCCTTCCAGGTGCATTTTAAAATGAGCTTAGCTTGTCACACCCCACAAAAGTTCCTCTCGAAACGGAAACGGAGGCTTCCAGCTCTGGAAGGCATCAGTCACAGGACAAAAGGCCCGGCCCCGGGAAGACCGTCTGCAGGGCCGTCCTGGCGCCGTGTGGGGACAGAGGGAGCGACCCCGGCAGCAGGGCCAGCGGGTCACATGCAGCCACGCGATCGCTACACTGCACGCCTGAAACTAGTGATGGGTGTGTCAACCACACTCAACTAGACACAAACCCGAGATGATGCTGGGGGCGCTGGGAGGGAGAACACGCTCACTCAGGAACAGGTATGAAAGAGGTCATTTGTCCAGCTATTTCTTGCTGATTTAGAGGAAAGCTACTGGTTTTTATACGGTGAGCCTGAAACCACCCACCTTCCTGAAGACGCTTTTTTTTTTTTTTTAACCATCCCAATGTCGTCTCAGTTCCAATACGGTCTCTAGACAGGCTGCTCGCGGTATGGTATGGGCGTTAGTTTGATTTACAGAAAGTGGAGCACGCTGGCTCACTTTCAAGTTGGTTAACGGGAGCTTAAGAGTGTCTGTTTCAATGGAAAGAGTATAGTGATACCATGATTACATTTGATTAGACCCAATCTTATTTTTTATTCCTTTCCAAATCGTATATAATTTAGTATTTATTTTCTTATTTGGAGGGTGTTTTGAATGTCCAGACAACGGACCAAAAAACATCCACTGAATTCCATTCTTTTTTTTTTTTTTCAGGTTAATTTTTCATTTCGTGTTTCCAATGTATTATTTTGAAGTATTCGTGGGTGTTCTATTTGCTTGCCTGTCTGAAAACATCTCTATTTTGAATTCAGCTGGATATAAAATTGTAGGATTAAGACCATTTTCACTTTGAGGACACTGCTCTATTGTTTCAAGCACAAATTCAAAGTCTGATGACAACCAGCTTTCCCTCTCTGAAAGCATTCAGGATTTTGGCTTTGGTGTCCTAAAATCTCACTGGTCTTTGCCAGTGAGTAGGCCATTTCCATTTTTAAGGCCAGGGTCTTTCTCTGCACGTTGGAAATGGTCTTCTGTCACACTTTGACACTTCGTCCATCCTGCTCTCATCTGCTACGCGCCCCTCCTGCGATGGCACTCGTGAGCTAGCAGGACTCCGTCTCCCTGCACTTTTGCACCAGGCCCTGGGAAATCCCAGTTCACCAATCTATGTTTTTTCTGCTCCTCAACCCACATAATGATTTTATTTCACCAACCACATTTTTAAGTTTTTTAAATGCTTTCATTTTTCCTTCAGGATATTAGTTTTCATAACTGCCTCTGTTTCAGGGACCAGTTATATTTGTTGTCTATGCTCCTTAAATGCCTGATGATGACTGGTTAGCTCTACTTGTGAATGAAGGCCTGTACATAAAGACTGAGTTAGAAAATATTTCATGAGCCTACGAAGGCAGGCCTGTTCTCCTGAATAGTATGCCAATTCCAACTGTCAGAGCTCAAACAGAAGGGAGAAGCATGGACAGATGTGCAACCCTGTGGGCTTGCAATCAGAGCTGTAGAAAACACCATCACCTCACGGGGGTTTGGAGCGGTGAAAACTGAAAATCCTATGTCCTTTCCAGAGAGTTGTTACAGGTCTCTCTCAACTCTGTTCAGTGTAAACCATTCCCTGACCTGCTGCATTTGTCCACAGATCAGAGACGCCTTGTTTAAAAGAAAAAAAAAGTTTTAATACTTACCAGCCGTAGTATTGGTTGGAGTTCCAAACGTGAAAGTGGCTTTTGTTGGCTGTTCCGATTCCTTCTCAGATGGTTTTGCCATACTGAAACTAAAGGTGGACTTTGAAGAACTCTCATCTTTGGTTTGCTCTGAATTTCCAAAGGAAAACACTGATTGACACTTTGGCTCTTCACTGTCAGCTTTCTTCCCAAACACTAGAGAAGTAGAAGTGACTGGCTCTTGCTGTTTCTCTTCTGTCCTTCCCAACACAAACAATGAGGCAGACGGCAGAGGGGCGGGTTCTATGCTGCCAAAAGTGAACCCTCCTTTGGCGGCAGGCATTTCTTCTTTTTTGGCTTCTGACGTCTTACATGCGAAAGGAGCCACTGAAACACTCTTGGTTTCTAGGGTTCCAAAGCTGAAGCTGCTCTTGTTCTCCGAGGTCACTGCGGTGTTAGTAGCAGCAGGTGTGGGGTTAATAACACCAGTACCAAAGCTGAAGCCGGCAGATGAAGATTTGGGTAGTTCCTCCTTCTTCTCTTGCTGCCCAAGATTGGACACCCCAAACTGAAATGGAGCTAACGAAGCTGTAATACTTAAACCCGAAGGAAGTCCAAACTTAAAATCATTCTCATTCTTACTGTCTTTTTTAGCTTCTTCAGGTTTAGACTCAGACGAAACTCCAAACTTAAAATCTCCTACTGGTTTAGGAAATTTAAAGCCTTCACTCCTGGAGTTTGGAGACTCAGAATCTGAAGACGCTCCTACTTTGAAGCCTCCCTGATCTCCAAACTTAAAATTTCCAGTGCTTGAGAAAGTCTGAGAAGGCCCCGAAGTGGATGATGGGATACCAAACTTGAAGGATGAGGCTGCGGGGTTCGAAGACGAGGAAGATGTGCCAAAGCCTTCAAAACATAGAAGACACCACACAAAGACACGGAATTAATGCTATCCTCTCAAACAAAATGTACCCCTGAAGAACAAAGAGACAAAGGAATAACTCTGGAGGGGCGCCTGGGTGGCTCAGTCGGGGAAGCGTCTACCTTCTTAGCTCAGGTCATGATCCTGGGGTCCTGGGATCGAGCCCTGCATCAGCCTGCTTCTCCCTCTTCCCTGCCGCGCCCCCTGCTTGTGCTCTCTCTCTCTCCCAAATAAGTAAATAAAACCTAAGAAGGAATAACTCTGGAAAGCCTACTTTGAAGAGCGTTAGCCACGTCCGTGACCGCGAAGTAGCAGCCCAACGTTCGGCAGGAGCACTCCACCTCACTCCTTCCAACTACCCTCACAAGCCGTTTTCGGTCCGTGACACTGGCAGAGATCAAGCAAACCTCATAAAGCAGTGTTGGTGAGGAGTCTAGGACTAACAGACACTTTATACATGACACATAGATGTGTAAATTAGCACACAATTTTGGAAGGCAACTGTCAGTATTTACTAAAAATCACAAACACATGTATCCTTTGACCCAGCAATTCTACAGCTAAGTCTTTTTTTTTAATTTTTTTTTTTTTTTTTTTAAGAAAAGCAGACAGCCACAGGTAGTCATTTGGATGCATCTGGAGTCTTGCAAGTTTGACTACCCTCCGTTCTCCTACGAATGGACCTTGAGAGTTTGTCTGGAGGTTCTGGCAGGGGAGCGCAGCTACTCGTACACCCCTGACCAGAGAAGGGCCCTCCTCTGCCTGGGAAGGTCGTCCTCTTCGACCAGAGCACGCAGCTTCGGGAGGGACATACGTGGAGCCGTGAGCAAGGAAGGGGACACCCACCTGGCCAGCCAGATCAGGGTAATCTGCCCTGGTGACCAGTGGGGTGAAGATAGGTCACAGCCAGATCGCCCTCACACCCTAAGTCTTTATTTTACTGTAAAGTAAAATAAAATAAAAAAACTTTATTTTAAAGATAAACTCACAGACAAGCAAAATGCCATATGCAATCCCAGGCAGCTGTAAATGAAGAACAAAGATGTGTCCAAGCTAGCCACGGTAAAATCAAGGGGGCAAAAAGGCAGTAGGATATACAACATTTTCTAATAAAATAGAGGGAAACAAGAATATACAGGTAAGAGTATATTTGCTTATCATGTTCATAAAAAAAGCTCTATTCTGAGTTCTAAGAAACTAACCACAGTTCTTCCCTCTGGTGGGGGAAGAAGGATGGAAAATGAACCAATGGGGACAAGAGATACACTTTTCACTATGAATCCTGTCATAATTAGAGTTTGAAATCTTGTGAATAAAGTTCATTATCAAACACTAAAAAAAAAAATCTTTAGCATCAAAGTACCAGAAGAACTGTGTGAGCAGAAGCAGTACTTAAAAAGACAAACAATACTATGTTGACAAGATCAAAGTCTTGGTTTCATAATGCTTTTCTGTAGCTGAGTAAACTAGAAATGAACAGGCATCACTGGAGTGCTGAGATATTTATCCTTTACCCTGCTTACCCACGTATAAAGACAAATGACAGCCACGCTTTAAAAGCCCTCTTACCTTCAAATCTCCCCCCTTTAATGATGACCCATTCCTTTCTTTCCCTAAGAAACGTAACTAAAAAATTATCAGAATCACAGGAGCAAGCAGTATTCTGCATGGTCTGTAAATACATTAAGTGATATTAGACAGAAAGCTAAAACTGAAGGGGCTAAAGACAATAATTAACTCATTATCACCTCTGCCTCAAAGGCTCAGATTTGAAGGTATGGTGATTATAGCACAATAGGGAGAGAACACGGAAAAAGGATCACAAGGTTAACAGCTACATAACGACCTCAAGTGGACTGGAAAGTAGTGATCTAAGACACCCAAATGCAGTGTTTGGGGTTTTATTTATTTATTTAATTTATTTATTTTATCTATTTGAGAGAGAGACCAAGCACGAGCACCTGGAGGGGCAGAGAGAGAGAGAGAGAGAGATGGAGGGAGGGAGAATCTCAAACTCCATGTTGAGTGCGGAGCCCAACATGGGGCTAGATCTCACCACCCTGAGCAAAACCAAGCGTCACTCAACCGACTGAGCCACCCAGGCACCTCAAATGCAATGTTTTTCAAACCAGTTGTGTCCCTTTAGCCATGTAATTAATTTAGTTGGTTGCAACCAGCATTTTTCTTCTAAAATGAAAAAGAACAGAAATAGGGTAACTTAAACATACTAAAGTATTGGTTTGTGATACTTTTTGTTCAATCATAAAGACAAATACCCTGTGCATGTGATAGGTCACAATGCAAAAGTTTATTGATTGGTTTCCAGTCAAAAGAGTCTCAAAGCCACTAGTCTAAGACATGGTTACAAGCTGATAAAGCTCGGCATTCTTTCTTTAGTGCCCTCACGGTCTCACCTTTGAGACCTCCTCCCTCACCGATTAAAATCTTTCTTACCTCTCCCTGACTGTTCCTTCAGATCTAAAATTTCTGCTCTTTCCCAGCTTGATCAACCTTTTGACTGAAATGTACCTCGTATGAAATACTAAGTCATAAAGGGCTATGAAGACTTGAAAAATCTGGCCTCCAGCGACAGTTTAGCAAAAATTGTTTTTAGAGATTCTTCCTTTGTATTTACGAAACAAAATTATTAAGAGAGTTCTTTTTCTGGGACATTCTCTGGGAAAGCAAAGCCCAAATCTAGCTTACTTACAATAAGGTTCTCAGGGCATAAATTCCCAGTCAGATTAAGAGTCAGGAAATTCATCTAGATGCCAAACGTTTGTTAACAGTTAGAAACAAGTTATCTGCAACTCTCTCAGACTCAACACAAGATAGAATAGTCTCTTGCCAGGTGAAGAAAAAAAAAAAAAAAAAAAAACACCTCGCTGCTGACCAGGAAATCACCCATCTTTACAGTAACTCAGATGTGAGCTAACAGTGTCCAGAACGAGATCTCATTTTACGTGAATTTTCAATAGAGAACAAACAATTTAAAAACTGAAGCTGTTTGCGAATATTTCACTTTAAAATGGCAGTACGAGGAGGCACTGCCCCAATGCCTTACCTTTAAACTCAGATTCTGTGCCTGGCTTTGCGCTTTTGCACGCCACACATTTGGTAGCATCTGCTTTATTCTGTACCAGGCACACGTCACAGTCCCAGCTGCCCTCGGGTTTCTTGAACTTGTCTAACCCCAGGCAGCTTCCAGAAGACAGAGAGGCGGGGACAGTGCTGCTACCTGAAGCAGGTACCGAACTTCCTAAAAAACAGCAAGGAAACACATACAAATTCTAATTCACATTATGTCAATATCTTAAGGCATCACTAAGTCTAAACGTTCAATTAGTGTTTCCTATTAAGACAGATAAAGTGCCAGAAATATCAACTTTACACTGTTAAAAACAGTATAGACAGCTCAGATTTCTTTTAATCTTACAAACAAGCAGCTCACACTCACCTTGCCTAGTGATGAGCTCTCTCTTAACCCGAAGTTTGAATAATCATGGTTTAAAAAAAAAAAACACATGCTCAGAAATCAGAGACTAAAAGACTAAAATGTTCTTAAGAATCTTTATCAAATCTCTTCAAACAGGACAGCATTTTAAAATCCAAGATATAAATTGTAGGCAATATCCTAACACATAAAATACATAGCCACAGACCACGTTAATTTCAAGATTTCAAAGCCCAGCTCTGCCTTTGAAATGATCATTTTTGCACAAAAGTTCATGGCAGTGGTTAACAGACATTTATTAAGTACCATAATATACCATGGTTCTAAGGACATAAAGATGAATGAAATGCTGCTTAACTTCTAGAAGTGCTAACGGTCTAAAAAGGGGAAAGTAAAACATAAATGCATAGTAGCACCATCACCAAGATGGAAAGTGATAAATGAGAAGAGAACGAAGAGCTGACTGTGGGGCAGGAGAAGAACGGATTCACAGAGGTGCCATTTAAATCTGCCAAGTTTGTGGGGAGCAGAGGGGGCACGGGAAGGACAGCTCCACGAAGCCGTCACGAAGTAAGTGTGTGACGAGGGGAGCCATTCATTCTGGCATCCCCACCTGTTGTCCACCTGTCGCCTCTCCCAGCCACCTGGTGTCTGTTCTACCGTTAGGTTCTCCTCCATCTTGCCAAGAAAACTGCTCCCCGAGGCTCCATCTTCGGTCCACTGTCCTCACAAGTCTCACCACCAACAAAACTGCTTCCTCTGCGCTTTCCTCCCCAGCCGGCCAGCGTGGCTGCATGCCTCCTCCTCCCTCACATGTTCTCCTAGCGGTGTCGTTCCCTTTTTCTGAGCCTCCTACTGCTACACTGTGTCAAGCGGCCCTCGGCTCTTGCTGGATTAAGTCTTCTTCCTGAGACCTCCGCTCTTGTTCCCCGAAGTCCATTCTTCTAAGAAACAACCAGTGCCACACAGTTTTGGGTTTTCCTCTCTGGGTCCTCCTTTACAAGATTAATTGTTCCAAAGTTTCATTCCTGCCACTCCCTGAAGTTACCAGAGCTCAGTTTTAGGCCATCTCCTCTATTCCCACGACTCCCTCACTTTACATCACCTCTCCTCCCATGCCTTATTTGAAAACTATAGCCTACTGATGCCCAAATTTGTATTTCCAGCCCAGAGCGCCCATTATAGGATATCCAAAGGCCTTGCATGTATGTGTCAACTTTCCAGCTTCAAATCCACAGGGCGTCAACTGTACATTATTCAACATCCTGATTTGACTCCATTAGTATCCGTAGCCATTACCTTTGCCCACAGCACTACGGATACAATTTCCTCATGTGTCCTCTGGTCTCCCTTCAACTTTTGCTGTCTTCAAATCTACCCTCCAAAAAGCCACGAAGCAATTTGTCAAACATACAAATTGTACTGTATCACTCCTCTGCTTAAAATGATGGTTCATCATTGACAGGATGAAGTCGGATTTCTTTAATAAACGTATGAGCTTCCTTTATGTGTGGCTAACAATTTACTTCCTAACTTTTCTTCTCCTAATCAACTCAGAATTAATTCTAGTTTCTTGTACGATCAAAAACTTGCCTTTTTTGGGGGTGGGTGGGTGGGTGGAGGAGGAATGCCAGATGGAAAAAGAAAAGTTATTTCAGAATGAAGATTCTGAAATCTTATTCTTGTGGAGATGTCCAGTAAGAACTAGGAATATGGCTCACCCCTTGTGTTCAGACATAGAGTATACGCTAACAAATCAAGAACTTTCCGTTGCAGACCTAAAACTACATATCCATGAATAATGCAATAAAAGAGGAAGTATAATTCCCAGGGTATTCATAAAAGGTTTTATTTAGCACCCATGTTACCATATATCTATACCAAATAGTTCTATAATATTATTACAAAAACAGCAAAGAGTCATTTCCAGTTGTGAATCTCAGTAACTTTTTCAAATTTGAACAGAGAAACAGGAAAAACTCAAACCTGACTCCATTTTTCTCACTGCCACGTTAGAATTTTTCCATTAATGATTCAGTAATTTACTATCATGGCAGTATCTCCGGCAGAGAGCACATAGGTATCACCATTAATATTCGGCCACAGCCTTTTCATAAAGCAGTATTGTCTACCCCTTAGTGAAACCTTTTCTGGAAATGACCATGTGCCATCCTCATTTCTAAGAGGAAAAGAGACGAGGTGGTATTTCGTTCTGGAGAACAGTTTGAGAAAGACTGTCCCTTCTAAGATCTTTCAGCATCTGTATTAGTCATCTTTGAAAACGATCGTGAAGAGCAAGAAGTTTCTGATAAAAATGTACGTAAAGAAAGAGGTACAAGTATATATTGGGCTGTTTAATGCACCGCCTCAGATAACATGGAGATCCAGTCCCACGCAAGTCATTTTACCTCAACACGGCTTAGAAAAATTAAGATGTATGAGGAAATGCTCATCCTGCCACATTACATTGAGGTGGTTCTTAGTAGAAAATAACTTTAAATGTCCTACTAAAATAATGAACAAAATTTTCCCAAAGAGCCATACACGTACCTGGTTTCTCAGACACACAGGACACACATTTACTGTCTTCTCCATTATTAAAAACACAGCACACTGGACACTCCCAAGATCCCACGGGCCTTTTAAACTGATCTGCAAACCCTAAGGCGGCCGTGGTCACAGTGCAGGTGGCAGATGAAGCAGCCACAGTCACAGCGCTCTCTGAAGCCGCAGGCAACGTAAGGACTCGCTTAACACCAGTCCCAGGCTTCGGCGTTTCACAAGCCACGCATTTTATCGCCTCGGGTTTATTCTGCACTAAGCAGGTATCACAATCCCAAGTGCCTACTGCTGGTTTAAATTTGTCTCCGAAACCTGTCCCTGACGCGGGAAGAGTTGATTTGTCACTTTTACTTGGTACTCCAATTCCAGTTTGTTTAGCAGTCTCTTTTGGCGGAAGTTTTGTTGCTTGACAGGCTATGCACTTGCTGTCTGTAACTTTGTTCTGGAGTAGACAAGTATCGCACTGCCACGATGGTCTGGCTTTTAAACTTTCCCCAAACCCGATGCCACTAGAAGAAAAGCTACTTATTGCTGGTCTTGTATAAACAACTGGGCTTGTGGTAGTAGGCTGAGCAGCAAGAGAATCTGCCTTTGGTGACGTGAAACCTATAATGAGGGAAAGAGGAGAGTGTAAGCAAAAAAAACGTAAGGAAAGCTTTCTAATCAAAACATGAACTGATATGCTATTACTAGGAGAACACATACTTACACACATTTATGCAGTTACTAAAATCCAATGTGGACTACTTAGAGTTTTGGGTTTTTTTAGCTAAGCAATATTTATTAATCACATAATTAATAAGTGACACTTTGGTCCTAGTTAAAATTCTACAAAAGAGGTTTTGTTTATAGTACATTACTTTCTTCCTCTAGGAGTTTCTACTTACTGTAATTCAACCACTATCTAATTTGAGGCTTTAACTGGTAGTAATTTACCGACCTACACCGTCATCAGCGTTTGCCACACTCTGCCTTGCCGCAACCCCAACGTACAGTATATTCATAGCCTTCCTCCGTGAACTATTTTTGCTTTCAGGTGTTCCCTTGGCTAAGCCAAACGTCTTCAACATCTATAATCTTTCAATTTTGTCCAGTTATAATCCACTATTGTGGTATCCTCTACTTTCAGTAAAAATCAGCAGAGCTGCAGAGGTATGCATATTGGACAGCTATCCCTCCCAAAGTATAGTGAAGTTGTAAGGACTGGTTTTAATTATACAAAGCACATACAGAACTTTAAAATGGTAATGGTTCAATGAGAAATATGATGAAAAATTCCAACAGAGATGAACCAAACCATCTGGTAAGGCCTAGAAATACAGAAAGGAAGACCCAGTCTACCCTAGTGGAGGATGAGCTCATGCTACTCAAAGATGCCATGGAACGTTACCAAACCCTAATTCAAACAAATTGCCTCAAGTAGTTCTCCAATATAATCACAGAACCTTTCACATTGTAAATATACCTTTTTTGTAACCACTAAAGGTGTACTTAAGACAATTAAGGTATTCACACAAAATCATGGAGTAACAGGAGTTGAAAAAAGTCTCTGTACTACCAAAACTGCTGTCACTGAATTCAACTGATTCACTCCAACTTTACTCATGGGAATGACCTTCCAATCCTTTACTTTGGACCAATTAACCTTTGTTTTACATATACGAACAAACTCAGTGACCTGTTTTTCCAGCTTTTAACACAAAAGGAAAATAAAATTGGAGGGTAAGAAGATACAGAAGACTGTATTTAGAGATTTTCTAGGGCTACAATTAATCCAACCTCGAGCTAGTTTTAGCAAAAAGGCAAAACCCACATACTTCAGTTACTCCCACTGGTCTAAAATGTACTATCTTTTTAATGATTAATTTAAGTCACTAAGTTTGGTGCAATTTTAACAGTAACCATCTTAAGGCGTTACAGATTTCTTTTCCTTCCCCTTTCGCAGGTTTTCCCTTTCGCAGGTTTTCCTAATTTTCCTCAAAAGAACATAGGACTCCTCCAAATTCTTGCTATTTAAAGAAAACTGAACGGGAGGAGGCCTCGGCATCATGAATGCAGAGTATAACTTAAATGAAGATCGACTGTAGGAATACGATGCCTCTCTACGACTCAGTTAATTCTAGCCCAGGCGCTCTGGAGCTCTGCCCCAAGTGTGTCAAATCGTCTAAGTTACTGGGACTCCTGGAGGCAGTATACTCATCTCTAAAATGAGAAAGCCAGACCAAAGAAACCTAATCCTCCTAAATCTTGTTGTAGAAGCCAACCTTATCTGGAAATTCTTACTCAATTAGACATGAACATGTCTATCTGCTCAATAAATCTAAATTCTCTCTGAGCAACCATATCACCTTATCAACACTTTTACATTCCTATAGCAGACCTCACAATCGCAGTTGTAGCTGTCCTCTGATTTTCAAACTGAAAACTTACTACTATTTGTGTACTTCTAGTCACTGCCTTCAAGTTATTTCTATGAGCTCTCAAACCTTGTTTCAAGCGAGCACTGTCCCTTGCATATACCTACGTTAGAATCAGCAAATGTTGTCTTTCATTGCCCAGTTCTTTCTGAGAACAAAGCAGTTCAACATTCTCATAGAGAATGATATGTCCAAGTATATCATCAGGTTTATTTACATTTTTTTTTTTTTCCAAATTGGCCTGTCTCTACTAAAAAGCAATTCATTTTCTCCTTCTACACTTTCCTCTTTTTCTCCTGCTATACTTGCCTCTTAAGAGATTCGTATTAGGACAGTCCTTAAATTCCAAAGAAGGAGAGTTTCTAAGATATTTACTCCAAAAGAATTACATCTGACAATGTCTATTTTCAAGTCAATTCCCTATCAAACTAGCCATAATTTTTTAAAAACCTAAAGTATACCACAGACAATATTAAAATAGGACCACGAATTTGTAATTAAGATTTTAGAGCATTTTTAAAGGCAGCTGTTATCTTACCGGGGCTTTTGAGAACATCTAGGACACTTCCTTCTTTCAGGGTTTTTGCAGGTCTAAAAGGGCCTTCACAATCTTCATCTGGCTTCTTCTTACAGCTTGTACTATTCACTGCACTGATATCTTGAGCTGCAATTTTTTTTAATTGTAAAAGACATTATGCCAAGAAAAAGCACTGGATGGAGTTAAATGTATTAAAAGATCTTTCAAAGCCAATTTGGACCAACGTCTAAAATATCATGAAAAAGTCACTGTAATTCAAAGATAATGAACAAATTTACTTAAAAGTACAGGGTTAACCATTATAAGAAAGTAGAAATACAATTCCCCATTCTGTACACTGTACATTTTTCTCCTCCAAAAGGGCAAAAAGTATAAACTATAATTGTTACCCAATGAATTAACTGGTAATTAAGAAAATCAAACTGAAACACTGGAGAGGAGATGGCAACTGAAGCTCACAAACTGCATGAAATGTGTTTCTAATTACACAACAATTTACAATATTGATCAAAAAAACCTTAACAATAAATTCCCAACTGAGCCAGTTATTTCATTTCTAGAAATTCATCCTATGATTGAAAGTATCCCTCAGTTTTCAGATGCCTGGGTGGCTCAGTTGGTTAAGCGGCTGCCTTCAGCTCAGGTCATGATCCCAGGGTCCTGGGATCCAGTCCCACATCGGGCTCCTGGCTCGGCGGGGAGTCTGCTTCTCCCTCTGCCTCTTCACTCTGCTCATGCTCTCGCTCTCTCTCTCAAATAAATAAATAAAATCTTAAAAAAAAAAAAAAAGAAAAGAAAAGAAAGTATCCTTCAGTTTTCATACTGAAAACCTGGATGATAGATGCTCACTAAGGGACTGACAATATCAATCACAGAATCCATGCTGTGCAGCCACAAAAATCATCCTTAAATGCACAGTTACAGGTAAAGACTTTAGAAATAGGGCGCCTGGATGGCTCAGTCGTTAAGCGTCTGCCTTTGGCTCAGGTCATGATCCCAGGATTCTGGGATCGAGTCCAGCATTGGGCTCCCTGCTAGGCGGGGAGCCTGCTTCTCCCTCTCCCACTCCCCCTGCTTATGTTCCCTCTCTCGCTGTGTTTCTGTCAAATAAATAAATAAAATCTTAAAAAAAAAAAAAAAAGACTTTAGAAATAGAAAGTCCAGAAGGTTTTGAATAATACATCAAAAGAGTAATGGTGGCTGCTAGTGATGACTGACTTTTATTTATTGCTTCTTCTTTTTAGGTTTCCTAAACTTTCCAAGATAAACATATCCTTATACTTAAAATAAGAAATCTGTATTTTCAGTATGATAATAGCTGTGTGGTTCCATTTCTAAACGAGAAGGTTTTTACAGATGAAGTAAATTCAATACAACCTAATAGGTGTGTTTCTGTGCATGGGAGAGGAAGGCGGAATGAAAGAAAAGGAAATAAAATTGGTCATAAAATGCTAAGCACTGGGGCACCTGGGTGGCTCAGTGGTTAAGTGTCTGCCTTCAGCTCAGGTCATGATCCCAGGGTCCTGGGATTGAGCCCCACCTCGGGCTCCCTGCTCCGCGGGAAGCCTGCTTCTCCCTCTCCCACTGCCCCTGCTTGTGTTCCCTCTCTCGCTATGTCTCTCTCTGTCAAATAAGTAAATAAAATCTTTAAAAAAAAAAAAATAATATAAAATGCTAAGCACTGAAGCTGGGTAAAGAGTACATGGGAATTCAGTCTACTACTTCTGAAAATGTTTGAAATTTTCCATAATAAAATATAAATAACCAGGTTTTTCTGGAGTGTTTGCCAATTTAAAAGGAGTGGGTCAAGTAGTTTCAAAAACTCCTATCTACCCCACACCTCATGTCATAAACAAAAATTAACCCAAAATGGATCAACGATCTAAAATGTGAGAACTGGGGCGTCTGGGTGGCTCAGTCGTTAAGCGTCTGCCTTCGGCTCAGGTCATGATCCCAGGATCCTGGGATCGAGTCCCACATCGGGCTCCCTGCTCGGTGGGAAGCCTGCTTCTCCCTCTCCCACTCCCCCTGCTGTGTTCCCTCTCTTGCTGTGTCTCTGTCAAATAAATAAATAAAATCTTTAAAAAATTTTTTTTAAAAAGTAAAACGTGAGAACTAAAACCATAAAACTCTTAGAAAACCAAGGAGGTACATTTTCATGACCATGGATTTGGCAATGAATTCTTAGATATGACATCAAAAGCATAAGCAAAGAAAAAAATTGAACACTACCACATTAAAAACCTTTGTGAATCTAAGGACATTATCAAAAAAGCAAAGACACTCTAATGAATGGGAGACATTATTTGCGAATCATATATCTGATAAGGATCTAGTATCCAGACTATATAAAAATGCTTACATCTCAGCAACAGAAAGATAAACCAACTTAAAAATGGGCAAAGGACTTGAATAGACATTTCTCCCAAGAAGATAAAGGACCAAGAAGCACATGAAAATATGCTTGACACCATTAGTCATTAGAGAAATGCGAATCAAAACCACAACGGAAGGATCACTTCATACCCACTAGGATGGCTATAAACAAAAAATGAAAAATAAGCATGGTGAGAATGTGGAGAAATTAGAATCCTCATACACTGCTAGTGGGAGTGTGAAAGGAGTCAGAGGCTGAGAAAAACAGCTTTGTGGTTCCTCAAAAAATTACACACAGAACTACCATTTGACCATTTCTAGATATATATCCCAGAGCACTGAAACTAGTATTCGAACAAATACATGTACATGAATATTCATACCAGCACTATGCACAACAGCAAAAAGCTGCAAACAGCCCAAATGTCCGTCAATGGATGAACAGAAAAACGACTGCATATCCATACAATGGAATATCATTCAGCCATAAAAAGAGTGAAGTACTGAGGCACCTAGCTGGCTCAGTCGGTAGAGCACGGGACTCTTAAACTCAAGATCATGAGTTTAAGAGCCCTGTGCTGGGCATGGAGCCTACTTAAAATAAGAAACAAATAGTAAATTTTTAAAAAATAAAGAAAGAAAAAAAAGGGAGCGAAGTACTGATACATACTGTAACATGCAGGAACCGTGAAAACAGTAAGTAAAAGAAGCTAGATACAAAAAGTCACATTGTATGATTCCAGAATAGGTACATGCACAGAAACAAAACAGTGACTGGTGGTTGCCAGGACCTGGGGGAGGAGAAATGCGGAAGGACTGTTTAGCAGGTACTCGTCTCCTCTGCAGGAAGGGGGACAGAACTGTTCTGGAACTAAACAGACTGCGGTGGCTATACAGCACAGTGAGCACTAACCACCACTTAGTTTGTTCCCTTTGAAATGATTCGTTTTGCCTTCCATCAGTTTCATCTCGGTAACAAAAATATACAAGAAACAAAACACTGTGCCCACCTCTTATAATAACTGTGTCAAAACAAAACATGTGGGACACCTGGGTGGCTCAGTCGGTGAAGCGTCTGCCTTTGGCTCAGGTCCTGATCCCAGGGTCCTGGGTTGAGCCACGCATCGGGCTCCCTGCTCAGAGGGGAACCTGCTTCTCTCTCTCCTCCCTACTTGTGCTCTCTGCCGCTCTCTCTCTCTCTCAAATAAATAAAATCTTAAAAAAAAAAAAAAAAAAGCAAAATAAAACATACTTGTAGCACTCTGTCATGGTCTATCCTCCTTTAGAATCAAAACTGAGGGGTGCCTGGGTGGCTCAGTCGTTAAGCGTCTGCCTTCGGCTCAGGTCATGATCCCAGGATCCTGGGATCAAGCCCCGCATCGGGCTCCCTGCTCAGCGGGAAGCCTGCTTCTCCCTCTCCCACTCCCCCTTGCTTGTGTTCCCTCTCTTGCTGTGTCTCTCTCTATCAAATAAATAAAAATCTTAAAAAAAAAAAAAAATCAAAACTGACATGCTTTTAGTAACTTAAGGTAAATTTTAAAAATACCCTGCAGTGTACTCAAATTGATGGAAAAAGAAGATAATGGAAAAATTAGCTCCTGCCACCAAGTAATTAATCACCACTTACACATTTTCAATCAACTTCTTAACGATAGAAGTGGTGAGAATCATTCTCACAATTCTATGTATGCCACTCCTAAAAAATGCCTTAAAAATCTGGATAATATCCACAGATGTGATGAACACAAAAGTTCTTTTAACAAATTACTGCTCATCCAGTTACCATTAGTAATGCATTAATAAAAACTGGGAAGGATTTTCATGCCTTTCTTCATAACCAGGCATGAAAATGGTAATTGGCAGAAGTTTATTCCTCTATGAATTCATAGTAACATTAAAGAAAAAAATCTTGTGATAAAAAGTACACCTGAAACGTGCTTGTTACTTCTTTCTCTTACATAAGGCTGTTTTAATCAATAAAAAACAGGACTACAAACATACCAAATTCTTATTTTGTGCCACTCTCATAGTCTATATTCTTATCTTCTGGCTCAACCAAAGCTAGAACATTTAGCTTCTATGTCCTAACTCTTTGGTTTTTGTTGTTATTTTTTACTCTATCCCTTGAGGGAGGTTCTAGCTTTTTTTTTTTTTGGTGGGGGGGGTTGTGGTTTGTTTTTTAATTCCAACACTGATAAAAAAAAAAAAAAAAACAAACTGAGATAGTCAAACACTTCTGGATAGGGCAAAAGAACTTAACTGATATCTCAGCCTATAAAACCCCACTCCCACCCACACCCCCCTACCTCAATGGACATTGCTGTCAATCCATGATACCCAGGTCACCCCATTTAAAATCACTCAATATCTTCCTACTACATTCAGATTAAAATCCAATTCTTTAGTGCAACATTCAAGAATTTTTAGAATTTAAAGCTACTTTTTTTTGTTGTTTTTTTTTTTAAAGATTTTATTTATTTATTTGACAGAGAGAGACACAGCGAGAGAGGGAACACAAGCAAGGGGAGTGGGAGAGGGAGAAGCAGGCTTCCCGCAGAGCAGAGAGCCCGATGCGGGGCTCGATCCCAGAACCCTGGGATCATGACCTGAGCCGAAGGCAGACGCTTAACGACTGAGCCACCCAGGCGCCCCTTAAAGCTACTTTTTAACTTCATGACAAATTACCTACAGATTTCAAAGAATATCATGCTTTTTTCTCTAATTCTTATACCCTTGCATTTGCTGTTTATCTTTTGAGTAAAATGCCCTTGCTCAAAAATTCTTGACCTGAGTAACTTAGCCCAGATGATTCTCCACTTCCTAAACAGCAAACACTTGAAAGAAAACCACCACTATCAGAACAAAATGCTAGGATTTCATTATCTGATGACTCATTTCTTTCCCTCAATTACACCCATTCCTTGAGTTCAGAAATTATGTACTACTATCGGCAGAGGCCCTTACACATAAAAATGTTTGTGAACTGAACACTAAACCTAGAGATGGAGTGCACTGCAATTATAACTTCACCTCAATAACAATGTAGACAACCCTTCAATTTCTTATGAGATTTCATTTATAATAAACTGTCACCTTATTTTAATTAAACAAAGACGACGGATATATGTGCTGCCATGACTATCCCTGTCATAATCAAATTGTAACACTTCCATTTAGTGAGCTAAGTATTTCTGAGAACACAGACTAAAAATACTGTCAAGGATTGATATTAGCTCCTATTTGCTTTTTAGAGCTAATTTCATTCAAATAAGAGCATTTACAAGAATTGCTATAGATTAAAGAATGTGAAATACTAATCTAATGTAATGCAACTATTTTTATGTGAAAACTTGTGAGAAATTTTCACTTACCTGAACTACTACTTGTAATTGGTTCTGAAATACTACTACAGCCAGAAAGTTCTGCTGTTTTTGCAACAGGCACACTGAATGTAAATCCAATCTGTAAAGAAAAAAAATGTATCCTTTAAGAGTCTATTTAGTTTTAAATGAGTATCAAATAGCTTTTTCCTATTCCAAGTAAAAAAAAAAAAAAATACACTGAATTTCATGTATTCCAGGTTTTCATATTTTATAATCTCTAAAATTGATGCTTCTTAGAATGAATGGTATGTCCTATCAAACAGCATTTTACATTTCTCAGGCATTTTTTCATTCAAAGCAGTACATAAAATAATTACGTGCTCCTAAAGCTCATTTCTGGATTTCTAAATACCACTTTCTAATAAAAAGTATGGGACTTTATGGACAATGGGCAGGTTTCAGGCATGCAGGAGGGAAATTACAAAATTATCTGGAATATCCATCTGTGACAGAAAACAAGAGCACAGTGAAAAAGAGAAGGCAACATGTAAAATTGATATACATGCCAAAGATGCATGGGATAACTTTAACATTAACCTTATTCTCCCCAAAATATTTAACTATAAAGAAACAAATACATTTTCTGAGGCATAAAAACCCAAAACTTCTCCAGATTAAAGGCAATTCAAGAAACATGTTAACCAAATGCAATGCCATTTAGTTGATTAGGTCTTGATCTTAACTGGATGTAGGCCCAAGAGAAACAAAATAGTAATTAAAGGACAGTCTAGGGCAATGGGGAAATCTGAATATGGCCTACATTATTATTATATCATGTTAAATTTCATGGATATGGTAACTGTACTGCAGGTATGCAGAGGAATGTCCTTTTTCTTAGGGGACATATGGATGTAAGGGTATCAAGAGATTTGTATCTTAACTTTCAAATGGTCATGAGAAAATATATATGCTTATATGTATATATAGGTAGTGGAAAATAAACAGGTGTTCACTCATTCAAGTTTTCTGTACACTGAAATTTTTTTAAGTTGAAAGAAAAACAATGCTATTTCTTACCACCAATGACATCTTGGTTTTGATAAAAAATGAATCTGAAACATTCCTTGCTTGCTACTTACAGATGATGGAGGTAGTACATCTGCCTCAGTAGATTTTACAATCGGAGATGAAAATCGGAACATGGGGCTGCCAGTGCTGTTTGGAGAGGTCATTTGTACCTGGTTTTCCAAATTATTACAATATTAAAAACTTTTTAGAGAAAGAAATTGACAATAAAACAGACCTTAATTTAAGCAAATTAATCATTTCAAAGAAGCCAAACACAATTTCCTTTTAGATTTAAAAATCACTTGTTAAGGGGCGCCTGGCTGGCTCAGTCAGTTGAGCATGTGACACTTGATCTTGGGGTTCTAAGTCCAGGCCCACGTTGGGCATAGAGATTACTTAAAAATAAAATCTTTAAAAAATAAATAAAAATAAAGATCAATTGCTAAATTGTAAACTTCTGAAAAATAAACTGTAAACTGCCATAAAATCTGGCTTCTCCTTGGGAGAGGAGTACACTCTATCTCAGAGGTGAGTATCTGTCTAAAGGAGAAACATATCATCTATAAGAATACATTCAGAAAAAGTAAAAGCCAGGGTGAAAGCATAAAACAAGAGCAGTTAATTCTACCTGAGATATAAAAACAATAACCCCATTCTCACAAAAAAAAAAGCATCTTAATCAGAAACAATGTTTGGAAACAAACTTACAATCATCAGTCTCTAAGGCACTGAATCAGAATTAAAGAGCACTCCATTATAATGTATCCCTTTATAATGTACATTTAAAAAAAGGAAAACACCGTTTCCATTTTTTCTCTTCTTATTCTGAGTTATTAATTCCCATAGTGGGAACTTATCACTGCTTTCAACAGAGTATTAGATTTTTTTAAATAAAGAACAAAAATCACCTCTATTTGTACAATGGTTCTGTACCTTGTTTGTTAATGATTGCGAAGGACTAACGGGTGATGGAGAGGACGTTGTGATCACAGAGGAACTAAAATTGAAGGTAGGCAGTGAAGAACTGGTGATGGGTAGAGAGATTTTCGGCAATACTGGTACTTCCATTTCCTAAAACACAACATGTTTCATAATGATAGATATCATCTTTCATGTCACTGTTCTATCCCTACTTATTTTCAGGAAGAACTGCTACAGTTACAGGTAAACTAAGGATAGGGCAAAAGTAACACCATACTGTGTTAACAGTGTGGGCTCTTGAATCAAAAGAATTGAAAAGATCTGAAACCCAGCTTTGTCACCAGACTCGGTGGCTTTGTGAACCTAACTGCCCTCAGTACCAGTTTCTTAATGGCTGAAAATGAGAAAAAGAAAAAAAAAAAGCACACCATAGTTGTAGTATTAATATAAAACACAAAGTTATATATGGGCTCAGCATATAGAACAAGCATTTAATAAATACCAGTACTGGTGAGTTTGGTGAAACGCCTTGGTTTTTTTATTCCAATATAGCAAAGACCACCCCAAGTCTCAACCCAGGTTAAGGGCAAACAAAGAGAGTTCCACTTCTACTAATGGAATAGTTTGTTATCTGACCAATGACCTGACAGATAACAATTATAAACTCTGAACAGAAGAGAAAGAAACAACCATCTGAAAACACTGGAGAGCAACCAGAAGTAAGCAGGAACTATAGAGATAAAAAACGCTTGGAAGAAGAGAGGGGCACTGAGTGAGTTTCCTGTACTCTGTGAATTGGTGCCCCTGCTAGTTGAAATTCTGAGAGAAAACAGCAAATCTGCTCACGGAGGAATCAGAGGACGGACTAAGTGACCACAGCAGCTAGAAATGAGGGGGAAATGCAGGAATGAGGAGCATATAAATCTGCACGTAAACTGTCCAAATTTCTAGCAGACATGTAAGCTGCTCCCGTGTAAGGGAAATAAGCAGCCAACAGACTGAAGAGCTCCAGATGCCGCCCACCATGAGTGGGAGAGAGTGCCAGGTAAGTTCCCCGCCAGCTAAAACTGAGTATTTCAAATGGATGTCGTTCATGGGACATCAAAAACACCTCTGTAAAGTCAAGCCCTCTCCCCAAAGGAAAAATAAAGATGCTTTCAGATAAAAGAAAACTAAGACTATTTGTTGCCATAAAACCTGCTCTACAAGTTCTTCAGGGTGAAGGGATATGATACCAAATGGAACTCAAGTTTCTGGAAGAAATGAGCAATATATGAGCAAACACAAAAAACTTTCATTCCTCTTAATTTCTTAAAAATACATACAACTTAGAAAGCGAAAATTATATGCTGTGGGTTTATAGCCTATCTAATTTTAATACAAATGACAAGTATAATCTAAAATACCAAGGAAGAGGGGAGGTAAATCAAACTATAAAGTTTCAAGATTCTTCAATTTTACAGGAAGTGGTACAATATGAACACAAAGTAGAATGTGAAACTTAAGGACACATACCATAATCCCAAGAGGAACCACTAAGTAACATGAAGAAGTAGAGATAAAGACCAAAGTAATTAAAACGTAGTTCTAACAAATATTCAATTAACCAAAAGAAGACAGCTTTCAAAAGGAACAAAAGAAACAAAAAACAAATGGGAAAACCAGAAAACAAGAGGAAAATGGAGACCTAATCCAACTATATAAATAATTACATTAATTATAAATATTCCAATTAAAAAGCAAAAAATAGATAAAAGGCAAGATTCACCCATATATAATCTACAAGAAACTCACTTAAAAAGATATAGGTTAAAAGCCAATGGATGGGAAAAGATATAACCTGCAATTCGTACGCCTAAAAAGGTTTATTCTACTAACAGAGTGGTGGGCTATAGTAATACCAGATATAGATTTAAAACAAAGAATACTTCCAGAGACTTTTTTAAAAGAAGAACATTTAGTAATATTAAAAGAGGCAACTGAGGAACCATGATGTGAAAGGCATATGCTTTAATGAGGGCTTTAAAATATGTAAAGCAAAAACTGACATAGGGGAAAAGATAAGTTCACCAAACGAAAGTGGACAATTTTAACTCCTATCTCTCAACAACTTAATAGACTAAACAGACACACCCCACACCCTGAAAAAAACATTCAGCAAAGACAAAGAAGATCTAAGAAATACTATCAGTCATCTGACACCTTATATAACACTATACCCAAAAACCGTAAAATACAGCCTTCAAAATTCATCAGGCAGACCATATGCTGGGCTACAAAACAAGTCTCAATACATTTCAAAACATTAATATCACAACTAAACACAGTTCTAAATAATCCAAGGATCATATAAGAAATCAAAAAGGAAATCAGAAAGATACATAAAACACTACTATAAATCTTCTAGAAGAAAACGTAGAATTACTTTGCGGCCTGGGGATAGACAAAGGTTTCTTAGGACAGAAAGACAGTAAAAATAACTGAAAATAAATGGGGCGCCTGGTTGGCTCAGTGGGGAGAGCATGGGACTCTTGATCTTGGGGTTGTAAGTTCAAGCCCCACACTGGAGGTAGAGGTTACTTAAAAATAAAATCTTTAAAAAATAAAATAATTTTTTAAAAAAGATAAATTCAAGGGTGCCTGGGTGGCTCAGATGGTTAAGCATCTGCCTCTGGCTCAGTTCATGATCCCAGGGTCCTGGAACTGAGCCCCGTATCTGGCTCCCTGCTCAGTGGGGAGCCAGCTTCTCCCTCTCCCTCTGCCATTCCTTCTGCGTGTGCTCTCTGGCTCTATCTGGCTGTTAAATAAATAAATAAAATATTAAAAAAAAAAAAAAAGGTAAATTCAGACTTCATATAGAACATCTGCTGCTCAAAAGATGCTGTTAAAAAAATGAGTATGCAAGCCAGACTGGGAGAAAATACTTTTTTTTTTTTAAAGATTTATTTATTTATTTGAGAGAGAATGAGAGAGCAAGAGAGAGAGAACATGAGAGGGAGGAGGGTCAGAGGGAGAAGCAGGCTCCCCGCCGAGCAGGGAGCCCGATGCGGGACTCGATCCCAGGACCCTGGGATTATGACCTGAGCCGAAGGCAGTCGCCCAACCAACTGAGCCACCCAGGCGCCCCGGGAGAAAATACTTATAAGACATGTACCTGACAAAGTACTTGGATCCAAAATTTATAAAGAACTCCTACAACTCAGTAAGAAAACCCAATTTTTATTTATTTTTGAAAACCCAATTTTTAAAAGGGTGAAAGACTTGAAGGATACCTCAAAAAGGAGGTAATAAGCACACAGCCCATAAGCACATAATCAAGAACACAACATTATTGTTATCAGGGAAATGCAAATTAAAATTACAATGAAATAGCACCATATACAAAGCAGAATGGATAAAATTAAAAAGATGACAACTATTAAGGATGAAGAGTGAAAGAAATGCTCATACACTGTTGATGAGTGTAAAATACTATATTCATTTTGGAAAATAGTTTGGCAGTTTCAAGTTAAACACATATGGGGGGGGCCTGGCTGGCTCAGTCGAAAAAGCATGCAACTCTCGATCTTGGGGTTATGAGTTCAAGCTCCACGCTGAGTGCAGAGATTGATTGATTAAATAAATAAATAAATAAATAAATAAATAAATAAATAAATATTTTTTTAAAAAGTTAAACACATATCATACAACCCAGCTCCTCCACTTTTAGGCTATTTACCCCAAGAGAAATAAACACATGTCTACAGGAGCGCCTGGGTGGCTCAGTCGTTAAGCCTCTGCCTTCGGCTCAGGTCATGATCCCAGGGTTCTGGGATCGAGACTCGCATCAGGCTCCCTGCTCAGCGGGAAGCCTGCTTCTCCCTCTCCCACTCCCCCTGCTTGTGTTCCCTCTCTCACTGTGTCTCTGTCAAATAAATAAAATCTTAAAAAAAAAACAAAACAAAACACATGTCTACAAAGCGCTACGAGAATGTTCATAGCAGCTTTACTCGTAACAGCCAGGCACAAAAGAACACACTACTGGACAACTGTACTGATAAGAAGTTCCAGAACAAGCTACACCAATACAGGACAGAAAAAATGAGAATAGTGAATGCCTCAGAAGTAGGAGGTGATGAGTACTGACTCGGAAGGAGCATGAGTGAACTTTCTAGAGCAACAGAAATGTCTGACACTTTGAAGGGGGTTTGGGTTACACAGGTGTAACCATTTGTAAAATTCATTAAATGGTACACCTAAGAATTTTACATTTTATATGTAAACATGTAAAACAAATATTTGACTGTAGTTTGTGCTATGTATGCTGAAATATTTGTGAGTGAAGTATAAATGTCTTCAACTTACTTTGAAATGCACCCAAAAAGTAGGATATACACTTGATAAAGCAAATATAACAAAATATTAGAATCTAAGTGTTAGATATATGTGTGTGCATTGCACAATTCGTTCAGTATTTCAATACAGGTTTGAAACTTATCCTAATCAAATTTGGGGGAGGGAGAGGAAGCGAACAAAGATGCATTTGGCTCTTTCCATAGCGAAGTCTCATCTGATCTCCAATCCTCAGTCTTACTTTCTTCCCTTTAGACCCTTACAACACCTGGGCACATCAACTGAATAACCTGTATCTTCCTTATGCCAACTCATTATGCCACAGACTTGGCCATACTGGTTCTTTATAACATTGACCTTGAGCCAATTCTAAATGTGAAATCTATTCACCAAAATTTTGACTTAGTTGATCAGAAGTGGGTCCCACAAATCTACGAGAAAGTTAAAAATTATAATTGGATGCTTCCAGGTACTTCAAGTTGAATACAACAATCACCAAATATGTGCCTTACTATATATTACCTTTGTAATATCTCTACATGGGTTATCTCACATGAGGAAGATACTGTTATAGGTGAGGAAGCTAAGGCAGGGAGATACATGGTCTAAGATCATACAGCCATTAAATGGCAGGCATCCCACAGACACAGCTCAATCTAGTCTTCTTTTTTTTTTTTTTTAAGGTTTTATTTATTTGACAGAGAGAAAGACAGCCAGAGAGGGAACACAAGCAGGGGGAGTGGGAGAGGGAGAAGCAGGCTTCCCGCGGAGCAGGGAGCCTGATGCGGGGCTTGATCCCAGGACTCTGGGATCATGACCTAAGCCGAAGGCAGACGCCCAACGACTGAGCCACCCAGGCGCCCCACTCAATCTAGTCTTCTTATCACCATTTTACAGATAAGCTGAGGTACAAAGGAATTAATCTGACCGACATCACTCACAGCTAGTAAGTAGCAGGCCTGTACCTGACATGACAATATCAAGCAATTAAATCTCCCCAACTCAGTCATATTATATACTCATCTGTTTTGTATAAGCTTTTTCATTATAAAAACCAAACTGGTATTATAGTAGAGGCAAAATGCCAAATGTTTAGTGACTAACACACAATCCTTACAAATTTTGAGATCTAACAAGAAATGAGAGCTAAACCGTTCTTCTACTATCTCAAAATGCAAAATGGGTTATTTACAATATAAAGTTCTGTTAACCTGAATGTTTAAGTGAATCAAAATATACCATAATATATACCAAATATATACCAAATATACCCTAATATCAAAATATAATCTCTGCTACATAACAAGTTCCTGAAATTAGCATGTGTTTACACTCCATTAAAAAATAAAACTTCTTCCATTTGACCTATCCCAAAAGCCCATTAAAACACCCACAAAATGGGGCGCCTGGGTGGCTCAGTTGGTTAAGCAACTGCCTTCGGCTCAGGTCGTGATCCGGGAGTCCCCGGATCGAGTCCCGCATCAGGCTCCCTGCTCGGCAGGGAGTCTGCTTCTCCCTCTGACCCTCCTCCCTCTTGTGCTCTCTGTCTCTCATCCTCTCTCTCTCAAATAAATAAATAAAATCTTAAAAAAAAAAAAAAATCTTTAAAAAAAAAACACCCACAAAATGAATATTCCATCCTTTATCAAAAGTTCCCATTAACTATAACTGAATTAAGAACAACCAGTGGTCTAAACATATTTGTTATCAGAAACAAAAACAACACTGAATACAAAATAAGTAAGAAAAAGCATCTACCCAAAACCTCTTCTACCGAGATGAAAAAAACACAGGGTAGGCAGAAATTTGGGGCAGCCACCCATCGGTACCTCTTTCCTCAGAAACATGGAGACTCTAACTCCAATGTGGAACAGAACTAGGGACAGGAGTTTGGTGAGGCATCCTGGGATGCAAAGTTGGCAGTTGGCAGTTGGCAGTTGGCCGGAATGGAGAGAGGGTCCAGAGAAGGGAGGAAGTGATAAAGAGGTCTGAAAAGTTAGACTTTCATAAAGCTCCTCACAGTATACCAAGTAATAAGAGCAAAAGTAAATCAATAAATTTTTCACGCCCCTCCCAATGTCTTGATATAGCAAAGTCACATAAAACACTTATCTGTAAGACAGCCAAAACTGAGCTACAGATAGCAACCTGAACTTGAGCTAAAGATCTTAGGAATATATTCTTAAAACTTGAAACTGAAGGGAAATAAGCAAAATTCACAAATCTGTTATCTGGCAAACACCAAACAAGATGTTTTCCTCACACAGGGATAAACTTTAAAAAGCTAGAGACACAAATTTTACTGAGAAATATAAAAGCTCATCTAAAGAACAGGCTATATAATGAACTACATTACTCAGGTGCTAATTTCTTTACATATACAAAGCAAGACAAATAACCCATTTCTTAAAGGTAATTTAATCAAGTCTACATAAAGAGTTTCAATAAAAGAAAATTGGTTTGCTAAGAAAACTACAAAATTTCTTCTACTGTATCATTAATGGCATTCAAGACTTTTTCTTTCAAGATGGTAGAATACATTAACACACTCCTTTCCTTCACAACACTCCAGTAGGACAGCAACAAGTAGAACCTCTAGACCAGCACCAGAGCCGAGCCCCCAGCACAATGCCATCTACCACAAGACAGGCAAGGGGGACAGGAAGTCCAAGCTGCTAAATTAGCAGTCACGGTTCTGGTGCCTTCAGAGAGGCACAACTCCAAAACTGCTCAACAAGAAAAGGGGAGATGAAGGAAATGAAAACAAAAGACCGCCTACTCTAAATAAACTTGGAAAGCATACCAACAGACAAGAAGGAAAGCAAGACTAACTCAGACAATAATTTCAACCAAAACATGACTTTAGAGTCAACAGAAACTTACAGAAGATCTCCTATTTAAAAATCTAAAAATTCCTTAAAAAAACCACTCATGAGTCAAAGAAGAAGTTACAAATGAAATTTTAATTAGAAACAAACAACAAATGAAAGCATTATGTATTAAAACTTAAATGATCCAGTTAGGCTGAAATTCATTTGTAAAAAGACTAAAAGAAGGCCTGCATTAAACTCAAAGTAGTTAGAAAATAGAGCAGCCTATAGAAAGAAAGGTTAATTTAACCAATCTTCAAATTAGTCCTTATCTTTTTCAAACTTTCATTTTCAGAATATATGCAGAAATCTTCCCAAAAAAAAGAAATAAATCTTCCAAATGCAAGAAATAATCCAACAAAAAAATGGATAAAGAGAAACCCCAAATGACCAAGAAACTCACAAGAGGGCTCCCTCCCTTGTAAACAGGAAATGCAAAATAAAACTTCAATGGCATAACACTTCACACCCATCACCTTGGCAAAAACTTAAAAAAAAAAAAAAAAAAATCAAGTACCCATAAGGAGAAAGAAAAAGCATATCCACCAACTATCATGTGGAAGGAAGTATTTACACTACCTTCAGGAGCAAAAGGGCAACATCTAATACGTTTGTATCATCCCCTAGAATCCAACAATGCCATCCTAGAGGAAAAGCCTAGAGAACACGCTGCCTGCGCCGAAGCAGAAGTGCATGAACATCCACCTTGGCACATATTAGGAATCAACCCACATGCACCCTGCGGAACAGGGGGTGGTAAATTTTCAGACTGGACAAATCCGTAACAGTGAAGTTATACGACTTGAATCATCTTTCACAACACTGATACATTTCACAAATAATATGAAGAAAATGGCAAGTGAGAAGAGCACACACAGTGTTAATCCACAGAGCAGGCAAATACTCTAATATTCCAAAGGTCAAATCATTTCAATTGTCATTCTCTTATTTGAAGAATTACGGCTTTTTCGTGGCACCTATGGAATTTAAGGTCCTCGGTTAGGTTTTCTGTGTCGTCACAGTGAAGGGGGTATCAAACACACATACATGCACACGCACTCACACTGGGAAGGGACTGCTCCAGTGGCAGACTAGTCATTCTTGTGCTGGGTCTCCCCCAAGCCCCAGCCCTCGGGTCTCCCCTCACCACCACCACATCAAAGCTTTCAACAAACTTCAAGAATATGAAGGATAGAACCCTACCTCCTCCTCTGGAGGCTTGGATGCAACAAAGCGCGTTCTCTCTCGTCTCATCTTGCCGCCTCCACTACCTACTCCAGAAGATAAACCATTGGCTGCAGACATACTGAAATTTGGGTAAGAAAAGCCACTAGGCAAAGAAAAAGAAAATTAAAACAAATGATATATTACTCTGGTCCATAACTTGTTAACCAACTGAACACCTAAAAATTAGAACTGCTAACAAGAAAAGAAATCTACAGCTGAATGTGATTTTTAAAAGCGGACAGATTTGTGTGCATAAAGTTTGTTTTTTAACCTTCTTAATCTTCAAAAAAACATATAAATCGAACAGACTTTACAAATGAAATATAAAAAAGCTTTAGCTATAAAGACGACATTACCTTTCTCGTTGTTCTCTACTTTGTCCTGGTGTCACAGGTTTTTCATATCCAGTCTAGAACAAAATGAGCAGACCAAATTTACATGCCTCCTTCCTCGTTTTAATTTTCTTAATACCTCCCTTCTGTCCGTCCATTTTAATATTTGAAATCAGGAATTTGATGGGTTTTTAGCTAGTGAATCCTAAAACTTGCGACTTATATCCTGCTTTCTGAATGGTAACTGAACAGCATGATTATACACATAAAAGGTCACTGAGCACATTGCCCTTTCAACCAAAAGGTATAAGTATACAAAATTAATATACTTACAAACCACAAAAATACTTTTACTCTCTCTCATTATGGCCTATTAAAGGTGTAAGCAAATTTATAAGGATATTCTCTCTGAAATGATTCTCTGCAATTTAAGTTCCTCCATTAAAAGGGTATCACGGGGGCGCCTGGGTGGCTCAGTCACTAAGCGTCTGCCTTCGGCTCAGGTCATGATCCCAGGGTCCTGGGATCGAGCCCCGCATCAGTCTCCCTGCTCAGCGGGAAGCCTGCTTCTCCCTCTCCCACTCCCCCTGCTTGTGTTCCCTCTCTCACTGTGTCTCTGTCAAATAAATAAATAAAATCTTTTAAAAATAAAAATATATATAAATAAATAAATAAAAGGGTATCATAGCTCTTTGGCAAAATAGCAAAATACAGGGCAGGGACCAGAAACTTACAGGATGAGCCTGTATTTTTTTTTTTTTTTTTTTAGTATTTTTTATTTATTTGAGAGAGAGGGAGAGCAGGGGAGGGTAAGAGGGAAAGAACCTCAAGCAGACACCCCTCTGATTGCAGAGCCCCGCTAATGGCTCAATCCCACAACCCTGAGATCCTGACTTGAGCCAAAACCAAGAGTTGGATGCTTAACTAACTGAACCACTCAGACACCCCCTGGGCCTTGATTCTTTTATATCAAAAAGGAACTAAGTGTTCAAAACCTGAAGGGAAATTCAAGAAGGACACAGGAGCCATTCAAAGGCCAAATGGGACAATATGAACATCAAAATAAATAATGCCAATAAAGAATTATTATCTATGGAATGTGAGAAATAAAGTTGACTTATAAAACACTATCATTTATGTACCTATAGATAGGTACATAAATGAGAAAAAAAACTTCTCTAGGAGCATGTGAACTAATAAATGCAGAAAGAACAGTGATGTTAGAAAACCACCCTTGGCAATCTATAAACAATAGATTTAGGCAAAAATCACCAATAATGCTAACTACTAAAAGGATATTTATCCTCTCAAAGTCATCTACCCACAAGATCCTTATTAATTACAAAAGATTAAAAAAATAGTAACTTTACACCGAAGAAATCCTACTAACACCACCTTAATAATCACACTGCTAGTAATGAGATGAATTGGTAGCATGTGCTTCTTGACATGACAGACTGAGAAGAGCTCAGCATCTAGTCTGATATTATTACCAAAGTAAGTAACTGGGGGGCCCCTGGGGGTCTCAGTTGATTAAGCACCCGACTCTTGGTTTCAGCTCAGGTCATGATCTCAGGGTCGTTGAGATCAAGCCCGTCAGGCTCTGCACTCAGTGCACAGTCTGCTTGAGATTCTCTCCTCTCCCTCTACCCCTCCACACTCTAAAATAAAAAATAAAATAAAATAAAATAAAATAAAAAGGACCTAACTGGAATCTAATTATGAGGAAACATTAGACATTCCCAAATTGTAGGACATTCTACACAGTAATTTACTTCTACTTTAGAAATATCAATGTTAGAAATACAAAAACAAACAAAAAACCCTAAGAAACTGTTCTAGACTAAGGGAGATGAAGAGACATGAAAACTAAAAGCAGGGGCGCCTGGGTGCTCAGCCGGTTAAGCGTCTGCCTCTGTCTCAGGTCATTATCCCAGGGTCCTGGGATCAAGCCCCACGTCCAGCTCCCTGCTCATCCGAGAGTCTGCTTGTCCCTCTCCCTCTACCCTGCTCGCGCGCTCTCTCTCTCTCTCTCAAATAAATAAAATCTTAAAAAAAAAAGAAAGAAAATTAAATGCATACATAATCTTGAATTTTTTTCTTCTGGGACAACTGGCAACATCTAAATAAAATCTGTACATTAGATAATAGTATTATACAATATTAAGTATCTGGTTTTGATAATTATTCTGCATTTATTACATTACAGGAATTCCCTATCTGTAAGAAATACACAGTAAAGTTAGAACAAATATAGTAAACCGTGAAGTCTTATAATTGTTCTTACAAAGTCTGTAAGTCCAAAGTTATATTCAAAGTATTTTTTAAATTTTAATAAAGCAAATATGACAAAGTGTTAATGACTGGTGAATCAAGGAATAATGGGTAAATACTGTACTATTCCCTCAACTTTAGTTTGAAAGTTTTTAGTAAATTAGGTTATGAAGATCAAATGAGATTAAATATAAGTAAAAGCATAAATAGTAAGATACTATGTAAATACAATAAATACAAAAAAATACACTTTAGCTAAATAGCACAAGAAAACAAACAAACCCAAACATGGGACATTTTAAGACAACTATCCTGGTCTCTTCAAAAACCAATTTTGCCTAGCAATTCTGCTCTTAGGTACAAACCCCAGAAAAATGACAACATATGACTACAAAATACCTGTACACAAACATTCACAGCAGTATTATTCATTACAGTCAAAAAGTAAAAATAACCCAAATATCCCTCAACTGATGAAAGGATAAACAAAATCTAGTATATCCAAACAATGAAATATTATTCAGCCACATAAAAAGGAATAAAGTTCTGATGTACACTATGACATGGATGAACCTTGGATACATTATGCTAAGTTAAGCCAGTCAGTCACAAAGGACCACATATTTTAAAACTCCATTTATATGAAATGTCCAGAATAAGCACATACAGAGAGACAGATGAGTGGTTGCTTAGGGCTGGAGAGGAAAGGCTAAGGAGTGACTACTCACAGGTATAAGATTTTGGGAGGGTGGGGAGAATGGTGAGGACAATGTTCTAAAACTGACTATGGTGATGACTGAACAACTCTGAATATACTAAAAACCACTGCACCGCTGTGCTCTTCAAATAGGTGAATGGTACAGTATGTGAATTATACCTCAATAAAGCAGTTATTTTAAAACAACAACAATGTGGTGAGGGTCAAGGCTTGCGATCTAGAAAGACAAAACCAAAACAATGTGTGAAATTTGCTTGGATTCTGATCCAAAAAAGCAACTATAAACAACACTGGAGTGTGGTCTAGATATTATACAATATTAGGAAGAAACAAACATTAATTTCTTCAGATATGATAATATAGAAGAAAGTACTCAGGAACTGCACATCAAAGTACTTAGGGGTGAACAGATATGTTATGTGACATCTTGTTTTCAAATAGTTCAACAATAATACAAACAAAACACACAGATAAAGCAATTCTGGCAAAATCATTTAATCTAAACCATGAGCATATACTAGTGTTACTAGTAAATACTAATTTAGGATTTGATCAAGGTGCTAGCCATCTGAAAGGCATACCAATTTGTAATCACTAACACACAAACTTTATGCATTATCTAGTTGCTAGACTGGAATGGTAGAGTACTTGTATCTTATTTATTCTTACTCATTTTAATTAATATTCAAAGACGAGTGAAAATAAACACATACTCACACTGTGCTTTTTATCTATTCTTTGATTGGTCTTCCTTAATTCACCAGACGGAGTCAGAGATGGTTTAAAATAAACAGTTCGATTTGCTGCTATGGAAACTGGCTTTGGGGTCATGAGTCTCTGAACAGGGGGATACTGAGAGTCCACCTTACAGGTAATCAGAAATCAAAAACAAACCTTTATTTTCATATATGTATCAGTGACACATATTTAAAAATTATTTGGCAATAGCTAATGTCACCTAGAGACCATGAATACTTTTTAGAGAAATACCCAGAGAGCGCAAATACTAAAAGGAAAAACTGATAGTAATAGAACCAAAGGTATATATCTTTATAAACCTATATATAAAATTCCAAATGGTTTCATAGACTATTTTATTCTAGACTTAATGACTTTTCACATATATGTGCACATGCACAAAATGGAAACTATATCCCAAAATGTTCTACAAATCTAAGCTTTTATAGGTTGAAATTTGAATACAGAAACTAAAACTGATTTTGCCACATTTCCCCCAAATTACTTTTTAGATATCCTTCAACTGGAAATAAAATTATTTTTAAACTAGCTATGAAAATAATTGGAAAAAACAAGCAAACATCTCTCCAAGTTAATTTTCCTCTATTGTTATTCAAAAACTAAGGCAAAAGTCTTAACAGAGTAAAACCCTGTTAAGAATTTCAAATCCTAAAATAAACTGGCATTATCATCTAAGCACACAAGTGTTTTGTCAACAGTCTTTTGCAACAAGGAAACACAGTAAAAGTCCTGTTGGTGTAAGAGGACTATAAAGCCAAGAACTTCTACTCTGTCCAAAGACCGTAACACTATGAATACAGTCCTTTCACTCTGCAGCAGCTGCGAACAACACTGGTTTCCAAGGCAGAGCCTCTGTATACCAGCTCTTCCCTAAACCCTCATCACGACTGTGATCTTACAAAACTCAATGAGAGTCTATTTTGTAGACTTTCCTGATAACATCTGTGAAACATGAACTACAATATTGTATTCTGGCCTTTATATAGCCTAACAGCCATTAATAAAATTCTATTGATATTATACTCAACCTTTAATAAAACTTTAATCAATGAGAACTTGTATTACGGCCCAGCTTTTCACAGTTACTTCTTTTTAAACAATCTAATATAAAACAGGAGTTTGGGGGCGCCTGGGTGGCTCAGTTGGTTAAGCGACTGCCTTCGGCTCAGGTCATGATCCTGGAGTCCCGGGATCGAGTCCCATATCGGGCTCCTTGCTTAGCAGGGGGTCTGCTTCTCCCTCTGATCCTCCCCCCTCTCATGTGCTCTCTCTCTCTCATTCTCTCTCTCAAATAAATAAATAAAATCTTTAAAAAAAAAAAAAAAACAGGAGTTTGGGAAAAGCAACTAATGCCATAAATTAATCCCATCACAGTGGCTAATAACAGATTCCCTCTTGCCTGATTACAAACACCTAGATAATTCTAAAAATTGTAAAGCCAACACTATCTGCCCAAAACCCCTCAATTTTAGCCTTCTGCAAAATTTCAGTAAAAGTAATTATAATTTACCAATATCTCACATACATTTCCCACAATTATGTCAGAAAATTATGATCATTTCAATCAGTTACTTCTGGGGGAAACTGGTGTTGCAATAAATGCTTTCACAAGGAAGGGTCTGGGAATCTGCTTCCCTGAAGGACACTTAACTAGCCACAAGTATAACTAACAAAAAACAGACCTCTGTGACTCTATCAAGCATCTTTTTGTTCCCACAATAATCTCCAAAGCTAATTTTAACCAAATAGAACACACGAAGAAGTGTTATCAAGATACTGTAACTTATATTTTGTACTAGTTCCCATACCTTGGAACAGTATTTTGGCTGACTAATGAAGATCTAGCAATCTGAAATTCTATTACACACAATAGATTTGACATGTTTGTTAAATGAGGGAAGTTTACAACGTTCAATGAGGGTTTTAGCTCACTGAACTTCTATGATTACTAAGCACTTCAAGCACTGTTTACTCCTACTTTTATCGGAAGGTAAGAGTTACTCACTGACTACCAAGATGCTGAAGATGGAAATGCCAAATAACCAAAAAATATTGACTGAGCATTTACTGCACTTACAGCACTGTGCTAAGGCAGGCCCTCATAAGAAGCTACAATGTCCAAGTAAAACAATCTTATCTTTCAAACATGTTCCCTAATGACTATCAAATTCAATTTATATATTTACTAACTTAAAAATAAATATAACAAAACTGCTGAAAGTTTAATAAATGCAAAAGAAGTTTTACCCTTTCCCTTTTGGTCTGAAAGTCTGCAGTGGTATCCATTCCACTCCTATCCAGAGGCTGAAAAAGTAAAAATACTATTAGATTGGAAATTTTGAAGAATATGACTTTCATCACCAGTATATAAAAATACATCTCTAAAAAAAGGTTTAAAAATCAACTTACAGAATTCAGGGGAGAAGAAACAATAGATGGAATTCTTTTTGCATCCTGTTAATATTGAAACAGAAAAAAAAATAAGATTTTTCACGAAACTCAAATTTTGTCACACATACGCATCTAATTGTGATTCTAAAAATTTACCGCTAGAGGGCTTGACATCTTCTCTAAAGACTGCAATATTCGCCGAGCTGTTGAACTGGTCACACCATAGGATTGTGCATTGAGCTGCTTAGCTTTCATCTGTCTTTTGACTGGTGCCTATAAAGAAAACACTGTATGATTTTTTTGGACTGTAAACTCTAAAGCACATATTTCAGGAAATGAAAATATTTACAAAACAGAATGGATATCCAAAGAGAAATAGGATTAATGTGGTAATAGCAATTATCTCTAGGTGGTGTCATTAAGCATTAAGCTCAACTTTTTTTCTTTATACCTTTACTGAAAAGCCATTAAGCATTAAGTTCAACTTTTTTTCTTTATACCTTTACTTTTATAACCAGAAACAAACAGGATACCACGCACCACGCTACAGATCTGCAGCTATGTTAAATGGACAAAGTGAGATCACTGGTATAAAGTTTTAGCATTACCTTGAGCCATCAATCCCTGATTTTTTTTTTTAAAGATTTTATTTATTTATTTGATAGAGAGACCCAGCGAGAGAGGGAACACAAGCAGGGGGAGTGGGAGAGGGAGAAGCAGGCTTCCTGCGGAGCAGGGAGCCCAATGTGGGACTTGATCCAGGACCCTGGGATCATGACCTGAGCCGAAGGCAGACGCTTAACGACTGAGCCACCCAGGCGCCCCTAAAACAGGTCTTCTTTGTAGCAGCTAGGCCCTGCCACCACTGTGCTTGGCTGAGTTCACAAATCTGTTGTAACCTGTAGCTTCCCCGTCCCTCCTCTGGCTCTTCTCTCCTGCTAAGCTTTGTTTCCTGGCAGTAATTAAAACCTCTGCCACTGCCGTAGCTACTGCTGCTGCTGGAACCACCACAGCCACCTTGGTTTCGTGGTTTGGCAAAGTATTGGCCTCCACCACCATAGGGGCAAGAGCTTCTGCCTCCAAAATTTCCTCCTTTCATGGGTCCAAAATTTGAGGATTGATTGTTGTTAACTGCCAAAATCATTATAGCTTCCGCCACCTCCAAAGTTGCTTCCATCATTACCAAATCTGTTATAGCCATCCCACTGCCACCGTATCCACCACCTCGACTGCCACCAAAGCCACCTTGACCACTGAAGTTCCCTCCACGACCGAAGTTGTCATTCCCACCAAAACCACCTCCACGACCACCACCAAGTTTCCAGAACCACTTTGACCTCTTTGGGGGGATGAAGCACTAGCCATCTCTTGCTTAGAGAGGGCTTTCCTTACTTCACAATTGTGGCCATTCACAGTATGGTATTTCTAAATGACAATCCTGTCTACAGAGTCATGGTCATCAAATGTTACAAAAGCAAAACCTCTTTTTGCCACTGCCTTGGTCAGTCATGATCTCGATCACTTCAATTTTCCCATATTGTTCAAAATAATCTCTTAGATGATGTTCTTCAGTGTCTTCTTTAATGCCACCAACAAAAATCTTTTTCACAGTTAAGTGGGCACCAGGTCTTTGAGAATCTTCCTTGAGACAGCCCTCTTTGGTTCCACAACTCTTCCATCCACCTTGTGTGGCCTTGCATTCATGGCTGCATCCATCTCCTCCACAGTGGCATACGTGACAAACCCAAAGCCTCTGGAGCGCTTGGTGTTTGGATCTCTCATTACCACACAGTCCGTAAGCGTTCCCCATTGCTCAAAATGGCTCCTCAGACTCTCATCAGTTGTTTGAAAGCTCAAACCTCTGATGAAGAGCTTCCGCAGCTGTTCAGGCTCTTTGGGAGACTCTGACTTAGACATGATGGCAGTAGGAGGGAAGACTTTAACGATGCTTACTCGGCGGCGTCCACGGGCAGAAAGCGGAAATTTAAATTTTTAAACTAACTCATTTCTCAAATTTTGACATAAGAAAAATTTTAAACACTCAGGCTATTTCTTCATGACCTTTAGCTTTCTTAAAATTGGAGTTAAGGAAAACACCTTATAAAGAATAGGTAAGCACCCTTTAATATGCAAGCAATGTTTACAAATTCCAATTAAAACACTTTCTTTTCTCAAGAATGCATTACAACAATCCAATAACCAAGCGACTACCACAAAACAATTTGGCAATGTTTGATATAAAGATATTATCACAATTGAAACATAAGCCAGTTTCTACAAATAGCTCATACTATCTGAAAAATTGAACCATAATAACTACTTTATAAATAATGTTTCTCTGATACCAAACATTGATGACATTTTCAGAGTAGCTACAATATTCTCCATTAGTTTTATTAAGAATTTGATGCTCGTTAAGGATTGCTGTTGAGGCCAAAAGCTTTGGCAAAACATGAGGCAACATTAAAATCCTCTAGGAAAATATGATAGTCTGTTCTGTCACTGGATTCTACTGGTCAGTGGCCACTCAGGACCTTAATTCACTAATGAATAAAATGGAACTGAATTAGAGAATCTTTATCTCCCAGCTCTAACACTCTAGGAAAGGAGTAATAGATTCATCCCAAATGTCAATGATAAACATTTGGAGGCCTGTGCTGAGAAGGATTTTAAGGGTATGTCACGACTTAGCATTAAAAAGTATAAGATTCAATGTAAGAAAGGAAGGAAGAAATAGCAAGAATATACTCTGACTTGGACTATTCTATGAATCATAGGCTTGCATCATTCTTATCTTCTACTAACACGCTTAACTATTATTTTAACTTTAAATAAATGTTTAAAGGAGTAATATGATCCAGTTTAAGCTCTAGAAAAAGCTCCCTGTGTAACTCCAACATCTAGTTAACACTTTCTGAAGTAACAAAATATTGCCCTTCATGAACACTTTCAGAAATAAAACTCCTAATTACTGTTAACTATATACTTGAAATCATCCTCTAATTAGGAAAGCAAGAAACTAAAGACAAGACAAAATCTTAAAATATACTTCTTTCTATGTCCTTGCTGTTTGTTACAGACTATCATTTTCCCCACAGACTCCCCTCTCCAAAAGCCCACATACTCTAAGTATAATTATTCTCCATCTTTAAAATGTCAAAATCTGTGAAAGTAAGCACAGTAACATACACAAAACAATTTTTATGATCTTCAAAAAACTCTTTTAAGGTAAAACACAGAATGGTGGAATTCACCTTGAATTTATTGTTTTAAAGTTATCAATTTCCACTTGTTCTTTGCTAATACATATGTAAATACAACTGATTTTGTATATTGACCTTGTATCCTATGATCCTGCTAAACTCACTCACAACTTCTGATAACTTTTTTTTTTTAATTTCTTAGGCTTTTTTTCCTACACAGATAAGCACAATGTCTATGCCTTGCATTTCTTTCTTGCTGCCTAGGACTGGCAGTATAGCATTACGCAGTAGCCGCGCTAACAGACATCCTAGTTCTCTTCCTGCCCTGAGGAGAGTATTCAGTCTTTCACCATTAGTATGACGCTCGCTGAAGATTTTCTATAGATACCATTTAACAGGCTGAGGAGATCCCCATTTATTCCTTGGGCTACAGAAAATTATCATGAACGGACACTGAATCTTGTCAAATGTGTTTTATGCATCTGTGGAGATGTTCATATGGTTTTTATTCTTTAGTTTGTTTACATGGTAGATCACATTAATTTTCAAATGTTGAGCCAACCTTGCATTCCTCGGATAAACCCTACTTTATCAAGACACAGTATCCTTTTTATATGTGCTAGATTCAATTTGCAAATATCTGTAGAGAAGGTTTGGGTCTGTAATTCATTAGAAATATTGGTCTGTGGCTTTCTTGTAATGCCTCTGTCTGGTTTCAGTATCAGGGTAATGTTGGCCTCATAAATACAATGGAAGAGTACCCTCCTATTATATGGAAAAGTTTGCATAAAATTGGTATTCTTTCTTAAATGTTTGGTAGAATTCACCAATGAAGATATCTGAGCCTGGAGTTTTCTTTGCTGGAAGGTATCTTAACTACGTATTCAATTTATTGAATAGACTATTTGGGCTACTATATCTTAGCTAATATCAAATAACATGAAATACTTAGGTATAAATCTAACAAAATATGTGCAAGCTGTGTATGATGAATACTACAAAACACTGATAAAGGAAATTTCAAAAAGACAAATAAATGGAGAGCCATGCTGTGTTCAAGGATTGGGAGATCCAAGTTTATTAAGATGTATATTCTCCCCCAAATTCATCTTCAGACCCAATGCAATCCTAATCAAAATTCCAATAGATTGTAGAAACTGGTAATGTGATTCTAAAATTATGAAAAAGCAAAAGATCTAGGAAAGCCAAAACAAGCTTGTAAAGGAACAAAGTTGGAGGACTCACATTAGTGATTTCAAGATTACCGCGAAGCTATAGTAATCAAGAGAGTTTAGAGTTCACCTAAGGATACGTAGAAATAGAAAATAATAAAAAGTCAAGATAATAATGCCATCTGCCATAAATGTATCATTTATAATATACAGTCAAGCCATATTCATATTAATAATAAAAAGTCAAGCCACATATATGGTCAAGTGATTTTCAAACAAAGATGCAAAGGCAAAGCAATGTAGAATGTATAAATTTTTTCGGTACTAGAAAAATTGGACACCCCTTATGTTTTTGTTTTTTTTAAAGATTTTATTTATTTATTTGACAGAGAGAGAGATAGCAAGAGCAGGAACACAAGCAGGGGGAGTGGGAGAGGGAGAAGCAGACTTCCTGCTGAGCAGGGAGCCTGATGCGGGGCTCGATCCCAGGACCCTGGGATCATGACCTGAGCCGAAGGCAGCCACTTAACCGACTGAGCCACCCAGGCGCCCCTGGACACCCCTTATGTTAAAAAAAAAAAATCTTGATCCCTACCTCATGACATGACACATACCACAGACAAAAATTAACACAAAACAGGGGCGCCTGGGTGTAGCTCAGTCATTAAGTGTCTGCCTTGGGCTCAGATCATGATCCCAGGGTCCTGGGATCAAGCCCCGCATCAGGCTTCCCTGCTCAGCGGGAAGCCTGCTTCTCCCTCTCCCACTCCCCTTGCTTGTGTTCCTTCTCTCACTGTGTATCTCTCTGTCAAATAAATAAATAAAATCTTAAAAAACAAAAAAAAATTAACACAAAACAGATCACAAGACTAAATTAAAACCTAAAACTATAAAGCCTCTAGAAAACACAGAAGAAAGTCTGTGACCCTAGCTTAGGCAAAAATGTCATACTACACCAAAAGCATGAACCATGTAAGGAAAAATAAAACATACTGCATGCCATCAAAAGTAAAAAACTTCTCTTCAAAAGTCTTAAGCCAGGGAATGGGAGAGGAGGTTTGCACAACATATATCTAATAAAGGACTTAATAAAGGAATAACATACTCTCTCAAAACTTATTAATAAAAAAAACAACCCTATTAAAAAATGGGCAAGGGGAACCTGGGGTAACTCAGCTGGTTGAGTGTCTGATTCTTGATGTTGGCTCAGGTCATGATCTCAGGGTCATGAGATCAAGCCCACACTGGGCTCCTGACTCAGCTGGGAGTCTGCTTGAGTCTCTCCCTCTGCCCCTCCCCACCCTTCACGTGCGTGCACACTCTCTCTAAAAATGAATAAACCTTTTTTTTTTTGAGATTTATTTATTTGACAGAGAGAGACACAGTGAGAAAGGGAACACAAGCAAGGGGAGTGGGAGAGGGAGAAGCAGGCTTCCCACGGAGCAGGGAGCCCGATGTGGGACTCGATCCCAGGACCCTGAGATCATGACCTGAGCAGAAGGCAGACACTTAACCAACTGAGCCACCCACACGCCCCAATAAATAAATCTTTAAAACAAAAAATGGGCAAAAGATTTGAACAGATGTTTCACTAAAGATGATACATTTATGGCAGATAAGCACACAAAATGATGCTCAGTTTCATAAATAAAAACCACAGTTATGTGGAGTTACCACTACATGCCTATTAGAATGGCTAAAATAAAAAAAAACAAAAAACAAAGAACTGATGACAAGTGCTGCCCAGAACATTCACTGCTGAGAATGCAAAGTGGTACCAGCCATTCTGGAAATCAGTGTGGCAATTTATTATAAAGTTTAATGTATACTTACCATAAGACCCAGCGGCCAACTTCTAGGTATTTACCCAAGAGAAATGAAAATTTATGTTCACACAAAATGTTCATAACCACTTTAATCACAACTGCCCCAAATCAGAAATGACCCAAGTGTCCTTTCACTAGTGAATGGATAAACAAATTACACCTCAGCAATAAAAGGAACTACTGATAAAGGCAAAAATATGTATTAATCTCAGATGCATTATGCTAAGTAGAACAAGCCATATTCAAAAGGCTAGAAACTGTATTGATTAAATTTCAATGACATTCTGGAAACATCAAAACTACAGGGAAAGAAAACAGATCGGTGGTTGCCAGAGGGTGGAAAGCAGAAAGAGGGGTCAACTACAGAGAGGCATAAGGTAACATTTGGGGTGATGGAAATGTTTATTCAATACTTTGCAGAGCGGGTACACAACTCTATGTATTCTGTTAAAATTCAATTACTCTAATAAGGGTAAATTTTACTATACATAATTTATACCTCAATTTTTTTTTTTTTTTTTAAGATTTTATTTATTTATTTGAGACAGAGAGAATGAGAGACAGAGAGCATGAGAGGGAGGAAGGTCAGGGGGAGAAGCAGACTCCCTGCCGAGCAGGGAGCCCGATGCGGGACTCGATCCTGAGACCCCAGGATCATGACCTGAGCCAAAGGCAGTCGCTTAACCAACTGAGCCACCCAGGCGCCCACACCTCAATTTTTTTAAAAAAGAAATATTAACTCCTAAATTAATTCCTAAAGCACAGATGCATATAACACACTCAAAAATGTAATGAATAAATATTCACTTAGGTCTAAAATAATGTTCAGACAGTCCCTAAATGAAAAGAATGTTTCTAATCCACAGTTCTAGCACTTTACCAAAAAAATAACCGAACCACAACTCCATTTGAGGTCCATCAGTTACCTGTCAATTATTATCTTTTTTTTTTTAAGTTCCCAGTCCTTCTCCTATTCAAACCAACCTGATATGGTGTGTTTCGTAGTTTCGGCTGTCTTACAGCAGCTGCTGCCCCACCATACGTTGTTTTTCCAGGATAAAAAGGAGAATCTCCAAGCTGACTTGTTTTAAGGATTGAAGAATTCCCAAGTGACTGCACAGAAACACAACAATAAATTATGAGCAATAAACACTCAAAACCAATGTGATTAAATCAAATTGTATTAGTACTCACAGGGGAAAGTGTTCCAAAGGCAGATAAGTTGAATGCTGGTTTTTTTGAGCTGGTGGCAATGTGCTGTGAGAGTGAGGGAGTACGTTCACCCTCTGGGGACCACAGAGGTGGCAATGAAGTATTCTTTGTAACAGCTATATCTGAAACAAAAATGTGCACTGCAGAGTAAGAGCACTAATTACAAGAAAATGGAAATTACAAGTCAGAAAAAACCTATCCCATGAAATTTAACTTCACTACCAAATGCCAAGAATACCTTTATCAGAAGCTCTTGAAGAAAAACCACTGGTAGTTGAGATGTTATCATCATCATGCTGAGAGGTAGAATCTTTAATTTCCTTTACAAGGGAAAATCCAGAACTGCCAATTGGGAATGCCGAGGATGTGGAGGGCTGACAGTGTAATGCAGGAGATTCCAACATGGAGAAATTCATATGGCTCCGATGAAGAGAAGGCCTTGTTAATACATCTGGGTAATTTGAAGTACTAGTTGTTGAGGGTTCTTAAAAAAAAAAAAGGCATTAATATTATGAAAATACAGCTTAGAAAAATATCACAACAAAATGGTGTTTAAAAAAACATACTATATAATAAATATAGCTTCAGTGCAAGTCACTGAAGCCTCCCATGATAAGCCAAATTTAGGCTATTCTTTAGCCAAACAAGGTTTCATCTAACGGCAATGAACTTACTTAACCTAGTATCAAACCATGTTTCAGGGTTCACATACAACTTCTAAAAGTGCATGGTCCTTTATTTTCCTTGAATTGGTATTATAAAACTTGCTTGTAAAAAATAAAATCAAAGAAGTTATATAAGAAAGTCATGAAACAAAAAGGATGTCTGGTTCCTCCAGACATAACCACTATTAAATCTGTATATCCTCCCAGATATTTTATATGCATACATAAATGTTTTCCCCTTATATAGGACTTGTTTTTCTGTTTACCAATATAATTGTCTCTATATACAAAGCATTCCCTTTAAAGACCACATTGTATTTTATCATAGTCACTGATTATATTTATGTGATTATTTTCCCCTTATATAGGACTTGTTTTTCTGTTTACCAATATAATTGTCTCTATATACAAAGCATTCCCTTTAAAGACCACATTGTATTTTATCATAGTCACTGATTATATTTATGTGATTATTTTCCCAGTGCTCCATCAAACAAATATGCACTGATATCTGCATACTTTTCAGAGTATTCTTTTGGATTAATCCATGGTTCTCTAAGAATATGACAGAAACATGAAGACAAATTATTAAACACTTTTAAGCTATCCACAAAAATATCTGAGTCTGTAAGCCTAAGTTGGGCCCCTAAAGCTGCCTAAGTATCCAAGGTATGAGATTCAATGGGATGAACATTGATATGTGGAACTGCTGTCTGGACTGGATCACAGAGTGTGTGCTCATTTTTGCTTATGAGACATACTATGATCCTGTCAAGTTATACTCCCACAAACAGCAAATGACAATGGATATTTCCACCATCCTCTCTAACACTGGATATTAACCTTTCCTGATTTCTGTCAATCTACTATGTCAAACGGCATCATCATTTTATTTGCATTTACTTAAATGAGAGGGATATTGAGCATTCTTCTCTATATTCATTGGTCATTTATATTTCTTCTTTTATTAACTGCTTACTGATACAGTCCCTCTTACTATTAAGATTAGTAAAATCTAATTTTTGATCAGTAAGATACTGTGATATGATCTGAAATATTACAACTGATTTTTCAACTAATTGATTGAACCTATTCATTTTGTTGATGGTGCCTTTTGCAGTACAGAAAATAACCTGTACCTTGTTTACAAAGACTTTTACCAAGACTATAAGAAATTTAAATTTTTACTCATTTTTTTGGTACTGTACAGTTACTTTTATGTCAGTATAATGTTTAATCTTGAGTCCATCTGGAATCAGTTATGACGTAGTAGTGAACAAATGATTCAGCTTGTTTTCCAAACGGTTAGCCTGTTCATATTCTAAAATTACCTTCTTATATAAGCTATCTTTTAATCACTGATAGAGAAGCCGCCACTACCACAATACTAAATTCCAAAGGCTTTTCACTCCTTTCCCGACTGATATATCTGTACCAGTACTATAATGTTTTACCTACTCTAACTTTGGAACACATTTAGTAACTGTAAAAGTCACTCCAACCTACCCCCCACATTCCCTTTATTCCTTTTCAGAATCTCTCTGTTCATCTTCAGGTATATTTTCAAGAATTTTAAAATCATTTGTCAAGTTTACAAAAGACTTACAGTTAGGCTGGAATAACTCGGCCTCCAGACTAGCACTTCTACTATAATTTAAATAATTATTAAACTGGACAAAATATGAGACATCTTTCAGACAACAGAAAACAGCACTCAAAAATAGAAAAACTCAGAATAAATAGAAAATTCAAAAAGTGAGCCCTATCATTACCCCGGCTCTCTACCTAGGTATATTTTCGGACCTGGAAGAGAAAACTGGAGTCCAAGCAGAACATGACAGGCAGAAATCAGAATGGGGCACTGGACAGTAGAAAACTGGTTAGGGCAGGGCCTTCAAAAGTCCAAATGGGAGTGTCCAGAGAATGAATGGGCTATCCATGCACAGAGTAAGACCATCTAAGGCTTTACCAAATACCAGCTGCTATAGAGTTGAGAAAACAGACACCAGGAGGTGAGCAATGCTAGGGGGCAAGAAGCAGTGCTAAGCACACAGAAGCTACAGTGTGGCCAGAACTTAAGAGATCCCTTTTATAAGCACCTCCTTAAAATCCATGGCATTCAGCTGAGATGTTGGAAACGCTTCCCCTTGAGACTAGGGATGATGTCCTAAAAGCCATAGGGGAAACAGTTTGGAGGCTAAAAGTCCTACCACTTTAGGGAACTTAAACACCTTGGACCTTCTAGAGATACACATTAACAAAACATAAAACTAAGTTTACAAAGTTCAAAATGATCACTTAATAACAACTGCCTGCTCAAACAAGAATCAATACTCCTCACGGGAAGGTAACAGCATTCAGAATCTTTACATATATTATTCAAAATGACACTATTTAGGCAGAAACCATTTGATATAACAAAAATGCGATCAATAGTGAGGGGAAAAACAGTCAACAGGAATTGACTATAAGACAGCCAATTTAACCTTAACAAAGGCTTTAAAATAAGTATTTTAGGGGTGCCTGGGTGGCACAGCTGGCTGAGCATCTGACTCTTGGTTTCAGCTCAGGTTGGGATCTCAGGGTTGTGAGATCCAGCCCCATATTGGGCTCTGTGCTCAGCGGGGAGTCTGCTTGAGATTCTCTCCCTCTGCCCATCCCCTTGTGCTCTCTAAATAAGTAAATAAATATTTAAAAAATAAAATAAAAATAAGTATTTTAAATACGTTCAAAGTTCCTAATAGACTCATTAAAATTGATCTGGATCACACTAAAGCTAAAAGTTTTTTGTTTTTTTTTTGTTTTTAAGATTTTATTTATTTGAGGGCACGCCTGGGTGGCTCAGTTGGTTAAGCGACTGCCTTCGGCTCAGGTCATGATCCTGGAGTCCCTGGATCGAGTCCCGCATCGGGCTCCCTGCTTGGCAGGGAGCCTGCTTCTGCCTCTGACCCTCCCCCCCCTCATGTGCTCTCTCTCTCTCTCATTCTCTGTCAAATAAATAAAATCTTTATAAAAAAATAATAAATAAATAAAGTTTCATTGGGCGCCTGGGTGGCTCAGTCAATTAAGCGACTGCCTTCGGCTCAGGTCATGATCCTGGAGTCCCGGGATCGAGTCCCGCATCGGGCTCCCTGCTCGGCGGGGAGCCTGCTTCTCCCTCTCCCTCTACTGCTCCCCTGCTTGTGCTCTCTCTCTCTGTCAAATAAATAAAATCTTAAAAAAAAAAAAAAAAAAAAAAGAGTTATTGGGTTTTTTTCCTATATTAACTTTGTGATTAATTTCTACAATTCTCTTATTCTAACAAGTTTTGTTTTATTTTGTTTTTTTAATCAATTGGCTTAGGTTTTCTGGGTATTACTGGCAAGGAAGGATCATTTTGCCTCCTTCTTCCCAGTACTTACACATATACATACATCCTCTATAATTACATCTTTAATATCTAGAAGTAGTGATGATGGGCTTCCAATTTATACCTGATAATAGGAATGTTTCTAATGTTTCACCATAACATGTGATTCTGGCCTCTGGATGACTAACATGTTAAGGAAGTGGTGGTCTCCAACTTCTAAATGAAATAAAGAAGAATGGACTTAAAGTTCTAGCAAATGCCTGTTAAGTATCTACCAGAAAGAAAAAAAATTGTAAGATGGTTTCACCTATAAATATGCTAAATTATATTAATAAGTCCCTCATAATGAACGATTCCTTACATCCCAAGATTAACTCTTCCCAGTAAGAAGATTCTGCTATTCTTTAATGTGCTGCTGGACTGTATTTGCTACTCTGTAATTTTCTTCCCAAAAGTATATCTTCAAAAATACTTCACAGCATAAGCAATACAAAACAATTCTGGATTAGTTTCAAGGTATTCTTATGCAAAAATTAAGATGCAGATAAAAACACTTAACTAGGACTAGGAGGAAACACCAACTTAATAAAAGCCATATATGAAAAACTCACAGCTAACATCAAACCCAGTGGTGAAAGACGGAGATTCTCCTCTAAAATCAGGAACAAGACAAGGATACCTGCTCTACCCACTTCTTTTTAACCCAGTACTGGAAGCTCTGGCCAGAGTTGTAAGGCAAGCAGAAGAAAGATACCCAAATTGGAAAGGAAGAAGTAAAATATCCTATTCACAAATGATATAGCTTATATGTAGAAACTCCTAAATATTACACACACACACACACACACACACACACACACCACCCCCCGCTGGAATAAACAAATTGAGCAAAGTAGCAGATTACAAAATCAATACACAAAAATGAGTTGTGTTTCTATACACTAACAATGTGCATTCTGAAAAGTAAAATAAGAAAACAATTCCAGGGGTGGCTGGGTGGCTCAGTGGGTTAAATGTCTGCCTTCAGCTCAGGTCATGATCCTGGAGGCCCCTGGATCAAGCCCTGCATCGGGTTCCCCCCTTCCCCCGCTCAGCTCAGTGGGGAGTCTGCTTCTCCCTCTGCCCCTCACCCTACTCTCCTGCTTTCTCTCTAATAAGTAAATAAAATCTTAAAAAAACAAAGAAAAGAAAAGTTCCATTAACAATAGCATCGGAAAGAATAAAACACTTAGAAATTAATCAAAAGAGGGGCACCTAGGGGGCTCAGTGGGTTAAGCGTCTGCCTTCAGCTCTGTCATGACCCCAGGGTCCTGGGATCGAGCCCCGCATCGGGCTCCCTGCTCAGCCAGGAGCCTGCTTCTCCCTCTCCCTCTGCTGCTCCCCCTGCTTATGCTCTCTCACATGCTCTTTTTCTGTCAAATAAATAAAATCTTAAAAAAAAAAAAAAAATCACTATTCATGAAAAACCAT